TATATAATTAATAAATTTTAAGTGTTTCTTTGCTTAATATCTAATAACAATATTAATTATTAATTATGCCTCAAATAAATTATAAAATTATCTTGAGTGAGAAGTAATTAATGATAATATTAACTATTTACTTTATACATAAATAATTTTGTTTTGAACTTTAAAGAAAAGTATCAAAAATATATTAATATCCAATTATAAAATAATTTTGTAAAATATATACGTAAAAATTATAATATTATTTTCCATTAATTTGTGTATATAATATTAAAATATGTAAAAAAATATGGTTACAAACAAACAAGATAAAATGAAGTTAAGTTGTTATTAAATTCCTTCACAAAAAAAAAAAGTTGTTATTAAATTTAAAAATGTGCCTCTATATTATACTTTATAAGATTATGTAGATATGTTTATAATAATTTATTTTACATTAAAAAATAATAAAATCCTTTTTTTGTAATATTTTGATTAAAGAATTTTCAAAATGAAATTAGTTGATTTGAACTTGTAATAAATATTTATCTTATAAATAAAATACTTGTTGAACAGCTAGTATTGAAGAGCTAGGTCTTTATCTCTTGACGAATGAAATATATCACTGTGGAGGTATATATAGGTGAAAAATATTCTCTAATGACAAGAGAGAATATGAGTCATAATTGTTTTAGTCAAAGACCTCTATGTTGCATGTGGTGAGGTAATGCATAACTAATGTGCACAATAGTGAGCTGTATTGGAGAGTAGGAGATTCTCTACGTTGAGAGTCATGTAGCCTCACTTTAAGGATGCATGGAAGGGAAGTGACCCCTTAATGAGCCCTCTAAGAGTCAGCCCATATCTTTGGGTCATAAGGTTGGTCCAGAATAAAAATTCCCGAACTTAGTAATCTGTGAAGTCAGAATGTCAAGATATATTGAAACTTCGGCGGCTGTCCGTAGTGTATACTGCTTATTATAGGATATTGATAACGAGTACCTTCTCGCATGTCAATATTTACATGGGCTTTTTTTTCTTCAAAAGTTACTTTTTTTTAAGAAAAAAAGCACTTCTCGAAAAAAGTTTATTTAGATGTCTGCTTTCAAAAAAAGCAAAAATCGTAAAAAAAGTCAAAAATTTACTTTTTTCAGAAACTAAAAATTTTAGCTTCTCAAAAAAGCAAGCAGAAGTCAAAAGTTAAATATATTTTTTTAAAATCAATTTTTTTTTTTTAAATCTAGGTAGCGATAACTTTTATAAAAAGTGCTTTTAAAATAAGGAAGTCATAAAAATGACTTTTTTCATAAGTCCATACAAACAAGCTCTTATTGTTCATGTAGCCCTCACGCCGGTCTTTGTTTGTTATAAATTCAAATAATAACATCCCCAAACAAATTTTGTACTTAAATAGTTTAAGCAAAAACATGCAACTCAATAAACAAAAATATTAGAGTAAGTATTACAAACTAAGAATATACAAATTTTACTATTACATCCAAAGATATTAAATATTATCATTAGGTTCAAAACATAATAAATTAATATATATATATATATATACCGGGAAATATATTGTGACAATCAAGTTGTGTTACTACCAAGTGACTACCAATCAATCTCACCGTTAGATCGATTATGTTTGTAACACCCCGTATATATCCGGTAATGTTATCATAATATCGTATTAAGATGCGCTTAATTAAAATGCGGAATTACTTTTTCTTTTCAATTATGATGCCATTAACATTACCAACTTGCTTAATAATCAATTAATAAAACATCGTCTGTATGTAATTGCAATAAAACAGCTAACTGAAATACCTCATAACATAGATAATATAAGTGTGGCTCTAGTCACGGAACTACAACAACGTAGACCGGACCATCTAACAGTTTATACAACTCCAAACTACAAGTACTAACAGAAAGTGTCATGGACAATCCTCATGCTCACTCAAATAAGGCAACATGCCCAACATCAGTCTCAACAACAACATATCATAAATAGCGGAAAACATAAACAGCATCCAAATCCAGTCATGCTAACATAAGCAGTAAAACATAATCAGCTAAGCTCCGGCCTCCTGCCGCCTGAGGCATCAGTACCCATACTACCTGATCCTGAAATAAGCATTTCCCAAACTTGGGGTAAGATCTCTAATCTAGAAATCTCAGTAAGTCAGTGAGTCCTCAAGGATCTTCCACCCCAAGCTCACTTACATGTGCAATATAAGTTCAAAAACAGTTTATCATTTATCATTTCTAAAACAATGCAATGCAGCAGATAATCATGTCATGTGTGTCAATACTAATCTACTGGCCAGAGACAGTGCAGGTATACGTCTATCACCTACACACCGTGCAAGTACCACTTGCATTCACCCCGGTACACCGTCTTGTATGGCGCTACATACTCAGGCTTCCCGTCAAGATGAAACAACACATGCATATTAAAAGCCATTACATGTAAAGTTCAATCAACATATCAAATATCCAAAAGCATGTACACAACATGCATAAACCATACCCCCATGGGACATGTTGGAACCACAACATGGCTAAACCGAGGACACGAAAGCTTACCTTGCAAGCTAACTCCAAAAGCCAAGAGTCCACAGCTCAAAGTCCAAACACAGCAGATTCACAATCTGTTATGGACCAATACTTTATCAATAAAAAGCAACACAAGCATAAAACTTAAAGACAACGCATTTCCTTACGTTTAACGTCTTAAGGCTCCATACCAAGCCATAAGTCCTTAATCACTCGATTCTGACTTAGTTTAATTAAAACAGAAGTTCAACTTCATCAATCTAGGGTCCACAAACCCCCAATAGTCAACTGTACACACAACACAGCTACTGTTCTACGAAATCCCAGAATATCCGGATATTCCTCGGGACCATATCCGGATATGCAATATCTGGATATCTCACTGGACGTATCCGGATATGCAATATCCGGATATCCAGAATCCCATATCCGGATATCTATTATCCGGATACTCAAAACCCATATCCGGATATCACATATCCGGATATTCATCGGGCACATATCCAGATATTTCACGACAGAATGCAGAAAATGCATTTCATGAAGATATCCTTCCAAGGTTGGGTTTTTAACGATTTAAAGCACCTAAACATGCATTTCTAGGTGTGTTCAACACTACCCAACCACAAGTTATCATCTTTAAGCCTTAACATGCATCAAGCTTTCATTTTTAAGCATTAAACTCATGATCAAAGGTGATAAGGCTTACCAAAGCTCAAACTCAGAAAAAGGGTGCTCTTGGAGCTCACACAACAACTCCAAGGTTCTGTCTCTCACAGAACACGAAAATACACACAAAGGAGGGTCATTTCTTCACAAAGGTTGCTCCTTGGAGCCTCACAAGCTAAGAACAACACTCCTCAACAAGAATGCCACCAAACCAGAAAACAACTCAGCTCCCACAGCCACCACAACTCAGAAAAGGTGCTCACCTTTCACTCACAAAGATGATTCCCACTCACCCAAGGTGTTTTAGTGGAGAAAAAAGGGAAGAAAGGCTACAAGGGAGGTTAAACAAAGGTGAAGAAGGCCAAGGCAGCAGCCACCAGCTCCAAACTCACGTAGAGAATGTAATATGGCCTAGGGTTTAGTGCCCACTAAGGCTTATATAGTGGTTTAACAATTAAACACACGGTATTAACTTTAATTGCTACGCTTAGCATTTTAATCCCAAACTTTGGATTATGAAACTACATAATTTTCTAAGATTTATAATATTTTTCTTATAATTTTCTGAGCACTTTACCGGTACGCGCTTTTCCAAGCCAGTATCGATTTCTAGTACCAGTTCTCATTATCTGGACTTGAAAATCGTTTTACAAGTCCTACATATTATTCTAGTAATTATCATGCACTTACATTAATTTTTCGGGATACTTTTTCGGTACGCGCTTATACCGACTAGCAGAACCGGTATCTGCACTTTTCTTCCGAAAAGCGACTTTCAGCATTATTACTCACTTACTATAATTATTAAAGTCTCATAATAATTATTAGAGTCAATTATGGAATCATTTCCTAATTTTGCATAATTAATTAATTAAATACCTTAATTAACGGTGCAGGTTCTTACAATGTTGATCAAACGGTTATATTTATTTCTATCTTTGTATGGTCATGGTTTTTTAAATTTAATACTTTATATTTATTTTCACCTTTGTATGGTTATGATTTCCCATATTTAATTTAGGATTAAATATGGGAAATCATAACCATACAAAAGGTGAAAATAAATATAACAGTTGGATCAACATAATCGATCTAACGGTGAGATTGATTGGTAGTCACTTGGTAGTAACACAACTTGGTTGTCACAATATCTTTCCCCTTATAAAAAGATAGTTTTTTATTATAAATTTTTTTCTCAAAGTCTGTTTAACGTAACTTATGCTTATAAATAATTTCTAACTTAAAAAAAAGAGAGATGCAAAGAGACACTAAATGATCTCAAATGTCGCTACTAAGGAAGAAAACAAGCAGATGTTATTAATCAGTAACAAAAAAAATGCGTGCAGATGAAAGGCAACTTGTAACACACAAATTACAATCACAAATTCCAAAATAGGGCATATTTGAGAGTAAACCTTGAGTATTCCTAGTTACTTTAAATGAGTAATTATAAACATTTAAATATAGATAAAGAGGTAAAATATGTGTCATTTTAAAGGAGGCAAAATTGTGTCATTTTAAGTAATGACAGAAAGAGATAGATAAAAGGGAAGAGATAGTGAATAGAAAAAATAAAGGTATAAATCTCATCTTTTTATGAGAATAAAGTAAAATGATACAAATTATATCAGAACAAAATTTTTTCACTTGATGAATGTGTAAAATAAATACAATTACATAAGAACCATATTGGCACATTCACCAAAACCGACTTGGGCCTGGCCCGCAAAACCCAGGTCCCATAATTGGGTTGAAAAGGCTTAGTGGGTTCAATACAAGAAAAAGAAATGGAGCCACATCCAAACGCAGCCTCCATGCTGAGAAGCAGCAGGAGTGTTATACCTCCTCCTCTGCCACTGCTGTCCCTGAGTACGAGGATGCTGTCGCCGCCGTCGTCTTCCGCCACCTCCGAAACCACACAACCCTCTTCTCGAAACCCCAAATCCTCATTCCACCACCTTCCACTCTTCTCCAACTGTCACACTCTTCAAAGCATGACGCTTTCCAAGTGCTTCTCCCACTCTGAGCCCACAAACCCCATCCCCATCTCGGGCATGCCCGAATCCGATGGCCTTCACTCTCTTGTTGTGGTTTCCTTCTACAAGTTCGCTGATTTCCCTGACCATGCCCACATGCGAAAGCCCTTGAAGCAACTCTGTCAACAACTGGTACTCTCACTCATTCTTTGCTTTCTCTATTCGATGAAAAATATATTAGTCATGATCTTCTTTTCAAATTCAATACTTTTCTAAACATGTGCTTATTCACATAATCACATTTAAGAGATTAGAAAGTATCATAATTCATATTGCATATGTGCTTGGAACTAATGCATTCATTCTTCACTTTAGCCAGTTGGTTCTTGTGCTTGGAACAAGTGTTTTGATATATACCTTTTTCTACATAAAAGGGTATCCTTGGTACAACGGTTAGTTAATTAGTCAGGGTTACAGGTTGGATTAGACCTACACAATGGGTTTGACCCTTGGGTGACAGATACCTTTTCTGCACTTTTTTTACTCTCTTTTTTGTTGTTGTTGTTGTTGTTGTATAGAGAGGGTTATGGTTGTTTACATTATGAACTGCAATCTTTACTTTCATCATAGATGAGATGTGTAGAGTATAGTCTATAGAGTACATTAAGAACTGATTTCATCTGCCTATGACTGCATGCTGTGGTTGTTCTTGCGTCTCACTGGTCTGATGCTACTCAGCGTGTTTCAGGTGGTATTATTCTTGCGCCTGAAGGAATCAATGGCAGCATATGTGGCACTAGGGAGTCGGTGGAGACAGTTCTTGCATTTGTACAGAGCGATGATCGTCTTAAGGGGCTAAGACAAGTGGAATCGCCTGTCAGTCCTGAGGAGGAAGCCATCCATCATGGACACAGTGCCAGTTCTCCTCTTGCTGCAGGGGAAGATGCGCCCTTCCGATGGGATCATGTGAGGGTCAAGTTGAAGAAAGAGGTAGCGTTTGCAATGCCAAAAGACTGTACTACATTGATAAATTAAATATGGATATATATCCAAATAACTTAATAGGTTGAACTTTTGGGGCATTTTGCTGCCTTGGTTCTTATGATTTTTTTTTTTTTGTTACATGTTGGCAGATTGTCACTCTCGGAATGCCTACTGTGTCACCCGTTGAAAGGGTTGGAAAGTATGTCGGCCCAAAAGATTGGAATGCTTTGATTAGTGATCCAGATACAGTGAGTAGCTAAATTCCTGTTATTATTGTTCTCCAATCTTCATTATGAGGCTCTGTCTTTTATGCGATCTTGTAAGCTGCTGGGACTTCATATTATTGAACATGTATAACTTAAATTGTTTGGATTCTTGGAAATGTTGAATATTTAAGCTGCTCCAAGTCTGTGCATTCTAATCTGTTTGTCTTCCGTTACTGGAGACAAATGTACAATGCAGCTTTAGACCATGGCTTTTCTAGCTAAAAAGGGGATAAACTCTTGTAATATCCCAAAAACTTAAAACTTTTGTATTTCTGATTATCTATTCACCATTTATTTATTTATTTTAGAAAAGATATGCAGAGAATTTGTAGAATTTTTACTTTTACCAAGTTGTAATTTCTGATTATCACTGATATATGTAAGGATTGCAAATTGTTTATGTCCTGTGCGGTTGAATAAAAATTTAGATAATTCATTTCATAAGCACATGATCGAGAAGTGCAGTAGATAATTTCACATTTTGCTAGTTGGGAGGGTGGAGACATGGTACTGGTATTGTGTACCTGAAATGCAAAATTTTCATTGTTATTAACATCTTCATGTGCAGGTGGTAATTGATGTGCGAAATAACTATGAAACCAGAATAGGAAAGTTTAAGGGAGCAGTTGATCCTTGTACTATGTCATTTCGTGAATTCCCATCTTGGGCGGAGGAACATTTCCAGCTTACCAGAAAAGATGGTGAGCAACCAAAAGTTGAGGTAAACAATTCAGTCCAAAGTGCTGAAAAAGAGAGAGAGAATCCAAAGCAACATATGCCACAACGTGTTGCAATGTATTGCACTGGAGGTATTCGATGTGAGAAAGCATCAAGTCTACTTCTCAGCAAAGGATTCAAAGAGGTGATTCTCCCCTTAAATTTTATTTTGTTTGGCACAAACAAAAATTTCTTTGAGAAAATCATTTGACTTTTTCTTCTTTTTATCAAAGAGAAAAGACATTATTATTTTTTACTAATTCTTGGTCATGATATGTTAATATCCCAACGACATTTCTGGTTTGGAACTTGATGCCAATACCAAGACCTATCTAAATGAAAGAATCCTTTTTTTTATTTATCTTAGAAGTCTTGTCAGATGTACTGATAATACTAATAAATTTTAGTCCCTTTCATATACTAAGTAAGCTTGTGCAGTTCCAGAGAATATTGGGACAGAAGCAATTTGGCAGTTCTTAGAATTATGGCCAAAACAAAATCTGTTTTCTAACAATACATTATTTTAATAATAAAACCACTTTAAATAATTTTGACCCACCCATATATGTTTCTGGTATTGCCTCTTATATCATTTGTACTTAAGACTAAAAAAAAATTGCTTAAAGAAGGGGTAAGTGCCTCCCATGTATCCTCTCTAGTCTCCTGGCCCATTATTTTCTTGGCACGATAAGGCATTATGATGAGGTTGTGTGTAAAGCTGAGACTGTCATGAGGTACCGGAGCTTATCAAAGATTCGAACTCCAGATTTCATGAATACAAAGCTTTGACCCCGGACATTAGATCCTTAGTAGGGGAATCTCTCTGCTGACATTCTTCAGAAATTGGGTTCAAGACTGAGTGAGGCTTTGGTCACATGAAAGCAACCATAGTGTTATATTCCTAGGTGTTAGTTTGTTTTGCTGTTTGCTAGTCTTCTGTAAACCACTGTTTTTTTTTGTTTTTTTAATGTGCTATTTGATAAACAAGTTAATAGTAATATTTCAGCTGGCATGAATATATAAGTGCTAGTTGCAGCTAACAGTTTTTTTCTGGCATTTGATACGATTTTGTCACGTTTCTCTTTTAAAATTTCCCAGGTTTATCACCTGGAAGGTGGGATTCTGAAATATCTTGAGGAGGTTCCAGAGACACAGAGCCTGTGGGAGGGAGAGTGCTTTGTTTTTGACAAGCGAGTCTCTGTGGAGCATGGTTTGGTGCAAGGAAATTTCAAGCTCTGCTATGGTTGTAAGCAGCCTGTGAGTGATGCTGACATGCAAGCCCCAGAATATGAATATGGAGTCTCTTGTCCTCACTGTTTTTCACTGAAATCAGATGAAGAGAAAGAGAGAGCTCGTGCTCGACAAAGACAATTTGAGAGATGGGGAATCATAGGTGGTCCTGATAAGGGTCGCAGGTCAACATGTGACCCAGATAGTGCTAGCCTGAAACCAATCAAGCTTTCACATTCTGTTTAACTAGCCAGACAAGGAAAAATGACAAATATCTTTCATATCTGTTTCCAACAAATGTTTGGCCTTCTCTTACTCTTGCTCCCCTCATAAAATGTGTTCAGAGTGCATGAAACTATAGATATTCCTTTAACTTTTATGATTTCTTGTCATAGGAACCATGTGGTGTCTCTACTGTCTAGTCTCCTGAGAAAGTTCATCCCTTGCTGACATTCCATGAGTTTTGTAGCCAATTTGTCCAATCCAAGCTCCTCATTTTGTTAAACAGACTCGGTATGAATGAAAATAGTTATCTATCAGAATTTCGCTCTTTTCTTAAGGTTATTAAGCTAATCCTTAATGTAAAATTTCTGTTCATTATTTATAGTTATTTTGGTATATCTCTAGATAGAAAATTTATATATAAAAAAATCATTTCCTAATTTCTCACCTCTGCTTTTAAAGGACATAGTAAACTTATTCCTCATGCAAAAATTATATCCTTTTAAAATTTAGATTGTATGCCTTGATGATTTAATGCCATATAAAAAAAATTGTATTGAAAATTAATCATTTTCATCCGGTGTGAAATATAGTGCTTTGGGATGGCATTAGTGCACATGGGAAAGAAAAGATATTAAATTATTTTAGAATTTGTTTTATGGGAAATATTATTCTACTTTTATAGGAGATAACTATCTTATCTTATAAAGAGAAGATAGATGAGTTCTATCATTACAAGAAAGGAAAAAAATAAAGGGGAATGTGAATTGAATTGAGAAAGCATGAGAGAAGTTATTTACCATAAAAGGATAATAATAAAAAGGGTAATACTTTTTTATATTAAATAGGAGAGAGAAAAAGGTTGAAGGTGAGAGAAAAAAATTCATGTAGAATCCATTTAAAAAATGTAAATCTAGAAGTATAAAAGTATGACACGAAAGAGCTCAGTTGGTTCCTTGGCGCTGAGTTAGTGGGGTTGGACATTTGTTCGATTCTCGCTGAATGCATTCTTGGGGAGGGGCTGAACCTTTAACCATCACTGACCCCCGCACTCCGGATTAGTCCCACAGCCGGCACAAAGAGTCGAAGCTTGTGGGGATACCGGAAGGAGCCAACTCACCTCAAAGAGGTAATTAGGGTTGGATAACTCCAAAAAAAAAAAAAAAAAGCGCTCTCAAGAAAGTCCATTTGCATGGCTATCGATGTCATTGCATCTTAGATGTGATTCGAGTAATCTTCTTCCAAAATTATTAAAACTAGCACAAAAATATAAGGACACCTTCAAAGTTAAAATAAAATAAAAAAATCCAAAAGAAAAAACAATTCAAATTCTTCAAACTAAAGGTTATATATTCAAAATGGACAAAAATCCAACATTAAAAAATATGAACTGATAAAGGAAAAATATTCTCGAATACATCTAATATCGACGTTTGCTACACTAGAGAGATGATGTTATTGATAAGGATTATTTCGCAAGGTCAGTTTTGTAAGATTTATTCTATTAACAAATCCACCCATAACATCACTTAAGACATCTTCATACTTGTATCTATAATGTTCGTATCTAACATCACCATATAAGTAACAATGCTAGACTAATTGAACTGACCAATACCTTTATCTTGGTGACACTAGATTAAGAAATAAATTTAGTGAATAATCAAATATTTTATTGTTGATCTCAATGGCTCCGCCATTTGTTGTTTAGGTGGTACTTTGATACCAACTAATTTTTAAAAATAGTATAAATTTTCTTTAAAAATTATGGTATAATCTTAACATTGGTTGAGTTTTTAAAAATAATATAACCTTGACACTGACTGAATTTTACAAGGTTGAATTTTTTGACACCAACTAAATTTTACTTCCACTGATTGATCTTCAATATATACCTTAATTATTTCAATAATCTTTATTCGTATAATAATGATAATAAGAAAGAGAAATTATACATTAGATAAAAAAATATTGTCTAATAGTATATCTGACTTTTAAATTGCCTCTAAGAGGCTTATAGTAAACATATATGACAACCCATCGTTGGAAGATTGGTGAGTACAGCGAATCTCATGAAGCTGTTGTCATTTGTTGCTAATTGGCACCCTTAATTAGTGAAGGAAGCTAAGTGTGATCGTATGGTTCCATTAACAGCCGTGCCAAAAAATTTCTTAGAAATATTACATGTAAAAATTTATTAGGCTAAAATGTTCTAGTCACTTAGTTTTAAGGTTCTTTTTTCTTCACATATTTTCGTTGTAAAACTTTTAATTTATTTAATTTTATCCAATGTTAAATTTCACCCTTCTCTAAATTTTAGTTTGCTTTTTCACTTGGTCCCCTTATAGCCTAGCTGCCACCCAATAAAAATATATATAACTTGGTTTCTCAATGTTTATTAAGCAAGAAGACAAAAGAGACGGGTACATGTTACACGGTAATGTTAATGTAGCACAACATCCACATGCATCATATGATATATAACTGATCATTATTTGTTTATTTAAAGCACAAGTACGGAATCAAAGTCATATCTAAGTTACTTCCTTTGATGGTGGAGACTGTTGAGGAGGAAAAACATCATTGTTAAGTTCCTTGAGAGCTTGGAACACTCTCGAGCTTCTATCAAATATTTGAGCCCTTCGGTTGTAATCTGTAGGCTCTTTTCCAACATCTTCACCCATTATTGCTTCACTTTCCAAACACTCCAATAGCTCCATAACCCCCTTTCTTTCTCCACATTTGTGTCTAAACCTTGTCATTCCACTCCTACCCTTTTCCTCATGATCTTCTTGTGATTTCATCTCAGCTTCTAGTTCTCTCTCCAACTCTGTCACCAAACCCCAACTTGCACATCCCACCACAAACCCATTATTATTATTATCCTTTTGCCAAGTAATGGTGACCTTGAATCTCGAATCTGTCACCTTTGCAAACAATGGCACTGTGACATTACTAAGGCTTTGTTGACATGGAATTAGAGGATGGTAATGGTTGGCGTTGCTCAAAGAAAGAGACGAGACAGAGCAAGACATATGCATGTCTGGATGATTGTGTTGTGTTTAAGATATTCTTAGGAGTGTGTGGATCCGTCGATATATATATATATATATATATATATATATATATACGTATACGAGGTTTAAAGCAGAGGGATGGTAACCCCACCAGTGCACGTGTCAGTACAATGCTCGAGATATATATATATACACGTGTTGTCTTTCTAACACGGTGACAGAGTGTTCGAGATCATTATGATTAGAGTATGTCCTCCACATGGCAATTGGCAACAAGTGCAGAGGGTCACGTGTAGAAAATAGAGTGATAGCACGTATATAGTTGTTGTAAAAAGGTTGTCTTCTTAATGTATTTGATATTTCTCGTACATAACGTATGTATACACATAAAAATATGTTAGATTTATATGAAATTATATGAAGAAAAAAAATAAAAATAAAAATAAAAATTTTATATTTTTATCTACGTGTAAGAGATTTTGAACCCCTTCTTACTTTGTCTGCCAAAAGTTAATACAAATGGTTTCTAACCCATCCAAAATAAACGTTTTTAGGGAGATTGATTTTAAAATAAGCAAGATATGTCTAATTTTAAGACTTTAAGTAAATTAAAATTATGATACATTTTAAAATAAATTTATTCTAAAAACAATTTTAATAATTATTTTTTATTAAATAAAAAGAATGAATTTGTATGAGTACTTAAATTATTTAAATAAATAAATAATATATTATAATCAATAATATATGAATAAGTAAATAAATAAATTTGACAATTAGTTAATTACGTGCAATCTAATAAAAGATAGGACTGTTTTAGGTTTCATGTCTGTGTCAATGGCTTAAAGAGAGAGAGAGAGATACATCGGGTTAATATATAGAAAAAAACTACTCATACTATATGTGATAAATTTCTTTGTTACATACTACATGAGATTAATAAAACCCTAATATATATTACACAGATCTTAGCTCAAAATTGAAAAGGAAAGAGTCATGTGTCTCAATAATATGTACAAGAATAAATAAATTTCTAGATATAGAAGATATAATTTTGGTTAGAAGAATCTACGGTTGAAATTTATTACACTGCAACTCCTCTTGCCTCTAGAATTTATTGCACTTTTGTTTAGTAGCACCTTTGGAATGAAGAGAAAAGCAAGATCATGTCCTCTGCTCATTAAGTCTCCTCTCAGCAGCAATAGCCGCGGCCATTGATGGTGGCAAGTGACTTAGATTTGTATTTGAATTAGGATTAGGATTTTCATCACTTTCTGGCATCGTTAGAGGTGCTCTTGCCAGTAAGGATTCGACATCCTTCAGGGTTAAAACAGGTTGGTCTTGATTTTTTGTGTTGCCACTAATGAATGAATGACTGCTCCTGCTTCTGTTCAATTTATATATGCTCTCTTCAACTGAGTCTTTTACCTAACACATGCAAGAACAAAATTATAAGAACAATACTTCATGTATGAATTTATTTGTAATACAAATCTTAGTCCACAAGTATGAAAGTGCATAGACAGGCATGAGTATAAAGTCATATTCTTTTCATTCAAGGAGAGTTTGTTAATTCCAATTCATCTTTTTCTACAAAAGCATTTATTCTAGTTTCCTTGGATACTCACACAGATTGGTGAGTTTTCATTGTCTCGCCGAAATAGAATTATTAGCTAATCATTGGAATTACAGAATTCATAAGCACTCAGAGAAATATCATAGTTAAAGTAATGAAGATGGCATTTTATTTGAAGTAAGGAGCAAACATGGGATACAAGACACAATAACGCAACTAAAATCAAAACATTGGAAGCAACAGAACTAGGACATTAATACCAGAAATGCATTCATATATAATTATCACATCAAGCAAAGTATAAAAAACTAGTAAATAGCATGATGGAAACAATAATATTGAACAAGGAAAGTTCAATTAATAAACAGAAAAACCAAGAGTAGATGATAAAACTAGCAAATAGCATGATATAAACTAGGGCTTGCTAGGAAACTTACAATGAAACGATGAATGAGGGTCTTATTTTTTTGTCCAATACGATGTACACGACTGATTGCTTGTGCTTCAGCAGCTGGATTGAGTAATGGCTCTACAAGGACCACATGCTGTGCTTCCAAAAGATTAAGGCCATTGGCTCCATGTTGGATTAAAAGCAATAACACCTGAATAGATTTTGGTGTTGACCCCTCACATCCTTTTTCTCTAAATTGACTGATGGCAACATGTGCTTTCCTGAGCTCACAAATTCATAACCAAAATAATGAGCATAATGAAGCTGAAAGTGGCTGATTGTCTAACTAAAATATAGATAAGTAATCATCCATGTAACTGACACAAAAACCTACACGGCTCCATAAGAAAATAATCCTGAGCCAAATTTATCGAATAAAACGTTGAAAACAGAATAAGTAGCACATGAATTCGCTAAATTTAGAATCAAACTATTTTATTGAAATCTAAATTGAGATTGCAGATTACAGCATAAAGTTAAAGTGATAGAAAAGGTATTCAATGATATATAACAAGTTATATATGGAATTATTTTATTTTACTTTTTATGGACTAAGAAGGAATTATATTCATCTTTTCTTTTTATCATTTTTTACCTTTCCCAATTTTAGAAATTTCATTTCATTACAAGTGTTCCTTCTCATTTCAGCTATCTTTTCCGATTTGAATTGATATTCCAATTTTTGATATAGCAACTTTTGTCCTACTACAAATCATATCTTTTATTAGTCATTTATTTCTTATATGATTAAATTAATAATACTTTACCAAAATCCTATTTTGGTCCCTGACATTTGATAATTTCGCTTCAATTTGGTCCACCCGCTTATATGTTCAACATTCACTTCATAGAAGTCATGATGTGGCACTGCTATTTTCCAACATGGTACTTCAATAATTTTAACATTAGTAACTCACAATTCAGATCCTGCTATTTGAGTAACTCTTAAACACAACAACAAACTGAACTGGACTTCATTGCTGTAAAAGACACACCAAGTGAAAAACGATATATTTAAGAATGAAAAGCTATATCAATCGAAAGATAAATTTTGGTTTTGATCAGAATTTTGAAACTTCTTAAACCCAGTGATCCTAGAAAAAAGTTATTTGATCTCCTTTTAAGTTATGCATCTAGAAAGCAAGCTAGATACTAGGTGTGGGGTTATTCTATCAGTAGAACCAAAAATCCATCCAACCATAATGCATTCAACCAATAAGAAAAGTCAATATAATCAAAAAATAAATGAAAAATAGACATCCCCAAAATTTTCTAGACACCATAATTACCAATAGCACTTGAATAACCATGATATTCAAGAAAGAGATAGCTAAAATTGAAACAGAGACGGAGGGATCAAATTGAAGCAAATTTATGAATGTTAGGGACCACAGTAAGAAAATTGAAATGTCAGGGACCAAAATAGGGTTTTAGTCACAATTTTTTCTTTGCCTATCCTGTCTCTCATTAGTATTATTTTCTCTCTAAATGTGTTCTAGTCCAGCATAAATACACAAATACATAAAGAAATAGTAACTGGATAGATTACTATACCTGCCTCCCTTCATCCGAATATAGGTGATGTTATTGGCAGCAAATGCATGTTCCAATACATCAAGTACATCATTCCAACTTGAAAATACAAGAACTTTTGCTTTATGATCGGTAGCCTTTACCCACAAGATTCTTCTTGTGATTGCCTCAATCTTCAAAACACCAGAATCAAAAAATAAAAATAAAAATGGGGAATACAAGAGTTAGAGGGAACAAGCATATGGTATAATGCAAATAAATCAAAACGTGACTTATTTACTGGAACATGCAAATTACAATGTGAAATGTGAGACGGAGCAAGAATATACTATGAATTATCTTATATTGTAATAGATATTCAAATTTTTAAATAATCCAAAAATAATAACCAAGTCTTCTTTTGTACGTAGTCTTCAAATTTGATCCTTCTCACTAGGATGATAGACTTTTTTCCTGAACCCTTGCCCACATATTACCCAAAAAATAAAATTGTTTGCCCATATGCAAAATTTCTAATAGCCACTTCAATACAAACACTTTGGGATCAAATTAAACTCATTCGATTGATCATAATCCTCCCTAACATAGTAGGAAACACTAATTGATTTCAAACAAATTGATATGCATATCAGTTATTGAACATTTTATAATTAAAAGATGGGTCATTAGAATACGCACTTAAAAAATCCACAAATTTGTCATTTTATAATTAAAAGATGGGTCATTAGAATATTAAAAAATCCACAAATTTGTCATCACATCTTATTCTCACTTCTGACGTGTTCATTTGACTTGAAAAGGGGTATTCTGATATTATTGAATTGTGTGAATAATCTGATACAAAGAGGTCTCTATTTATAGAGAATAAAAGACCTAATTCTTGACCTAATGGGCTTGACCCAATACAACAAATAATAATAAATGACTAATATTTATAACACTCCCCCTCAAGCTGAGGAATAGATATTTATCATTCCCAGCTTGTTAATAAGTTCTTGAAATCTGTCTAAAGGAAGTCCCTTTGTCAATAGATCAGCTAATTGACGCCCAGTGGGAATGTATGGAGTGGTAATCAACCCGCTATCAAGTTTCTCTTTGATAAAATGACGGTCGACCTCAATATGTTTAGTCCGATCATGTTGAACCGGATTATGAGCTATACAAATAGCAGACTTATTGTCACATAGCAGCTTCATAGGTCCTTCACATTTTATTTTGAGATCATCAAGTACAATTTTCAGCCACAGTAACTCACAAATGCCTTGAGCCATAGCTCGAAATTTAGCTTCTGCACTTGATCTGGCAACCACATCTTGTTTCTTACTTCTCCATGTCACCATATTACCGCAAAGAAACATGCAATAACCAGTGATAGAACGACGGTCAGTCACGGATCCAGCATAATCAGCATCACTGTAGACTTCTAAAGAGAGATTGCCATCACGTCGGAATAACAATCCTTTACCAGGAGTAGCTTTAAGATACTGAAGAATTCTCTCTACTGCCTGCATGTGTTTCTCCTTTGGATCGTGCATAAACTGACTGACAACACTAATAGCATAAGCTAGGTCTGGTCTAGTATGAGCCAGATATATCAATTTCCCAACTAGCCGTTGATATTGTCCTTTATCAACTGGCCTCTTCATAGCCTATCTTGTGATTCTGCTCAATAGGAGTATTAGAGGGTTTACACCCAAGTTTTCCTGCTTCTTTGAGAAGATCAAGAACATATTTTCTCTGGCTGATAAAAATTCCTTTGCTTGAATGAACTACTTCTATCCCTAGGAAATATCTCAGTTTACCAAGGTCTTTGACTTCAAACTCAGAGGCAAGCCGTGTTTGTAGAATCTGTCTCTCCACAGAATCATCACCTGTGATAATAATATCATCAACATATACAAGGAGCACAATAAGCTTCCCACTTTGGGAGTGCTTGAAGAAAAGAGTGCGATCTCCTTGACTCTGTCTGCATCCTAAGGTCATCATAACCTTAGTAAACCTTCCAAACCAGGCATGAGGTGACTGCTTCAATCCATACAAGGCCTTTTTTAATCTACAAACTTTATTTTCTCCCTTCACAGAATCAAAACCAGGCGGGATTTCCATGTAGACTTCTTCTTCTAACTCACCATTGAGGAAAGCATTTTCCACATCAAATCGATTTATATCCCAATTGTAATGGGCAGCAAGGGATAACAAGACTCTCACCGTATTCATCTTTGCAATTGGAGCAAAGGTTTCTTCAAAATCAATGCCATAGGTTTGAGTGTAACCTTTGGCGACTAATCGAACCTTGTATCTCTCAAGAGTTCCATCAGAATTATATTTCAAGGAATAAACCCATCTGCACCCTACTGCTTTCTTTCCGTTAGGTCTATCAATAACCTCCCATGTTTTATTTTTCTCCAACGCATTCATCTCCTCTTGCATGGCTTGAGCCCAATTCCCATCTTTCAAGGCTTCATGTATTGATTTTGGGATTGAAATAGAATCTAGTGCTGAAACAAAGCTTTTGTGCTGCACAGAAAGATTAGTAGAGGAAACAAAACGGGAGATAGGGTATTGAGTACAAAAGGGACAGGAGGAACAAGATTTCTTGGAACAAGATCTTTTTCCTTTTCTTAGAGCAATGGGTAAATCATCAGAAGCAGTAGTAATGGGTAAGTCATCAGAAGTATTAACATCATGATCAGAAATATGAGATTCAGGACTTACCAGTGGTTCAGACGATTGAGGTTGCTGGTGAGGCAATGTGGGCTGTATCTTTCTTTGATATACCAACTCAGGTGCCACAATCTTTCGTATCTCTAGTGTACTTGATGTATCAGTCACAGGAGGATCACTCACAGGAGGATCAGACATAGAAGGAACAGGAACAAGAGGAGGAGACACTGACACAGGTAAAGGAGTAGACACTGAAGATTCAGACTCAAAGAAAGAAGGTGATGAGTTTTCTGGTGAATTATTCTCCCCCTGAAGATGAAGACCTTGAAAAAAGGACTCAGATTCCTGAAATGTAACATCCATAGAAACAAAAAAATTTCGACTACCAGGGTGATAACACTTGTAGCCCTTCTTATCAGGAACATAACCAAGGAAAACACATTTAATAGCCCTAGGGTCCAACTTACTGCGATGATGTTTATGAACATGAACAAAAGCAACAAACCCAAACACTCATGGAGGAAGACTTATAGTTGGAATAGAAGGAAAAAAAGAAGTTATAGAGTGAATAGGACTTACATGGTCAAGTACCCGAGTAGGTAAACGGTTGATCAAGAATGCTGCAGTAAGAATAGCATCTCCCCAATAGTATTTGGGTACATATGTCTGAAACATTAATGCACGAGCCACTTCAAGAAGGTGACGATTTTTTCTTTCAGCAACCCCATTATGTTGAGGGGTGTCAACACAAGTAAGTTCATAAATCATACCGTTATTTCGTATAAATTGGGAAAAACTTTGATTAACATATTCAGTACCATTATTTGTCCTTAGTCTCTTGATTTTTTTACCAAATTGGGTTTCAACCATTTTATAAAATTGAAAGAACAGTTGTGGTACCTCAGACTTTTCACGCATTAAGTAAACCCAAGTTACATGAGTGCAATCATCAATAAAAGAAGCAAACCATTTATTTCCAGAAGAATGAGGGACCTTAGAAGGACCCCAAACATCAGAATGAATAAGATCAAAAGGTTCAACACTCTTAGTAATACTAGAAGGAAAAGTCACACGATGATGCTTAGCAAACTCACAAACATCACAATGAAAAGACTCAACAGACTTAGACAAAAACAATGACGAAAATAAAGACTTGACTAAACTAAATGGAGGATGTCCCAAGCGCTTATGATGAAGCCAAATCAAAGAATCAGCAGTTGATTGACCATGAGATAGCAAGATGTGATCTGTTACTTTATTTGCGGGAGATTGTGACACCAGATAGTACAGCCCACCTTGCTCTTTAGCATTACCAATCGTCTTCCCCGTGGCGAGATCCTGAAAAACACAATGGGTAGGGAAGAAGGTTTCAGTACAATTCAAATCTTTTGTAATTTTATGAATAGAAAGAAGATTCGTGGAGAGTTTAGGAACATGAAGAGCATCTTTAAGATGTAAGGACTGTTGTAAGTTTATGTTACCAGAACCCGTAACTGATGTATGTGAGCCATCAACTACGGCTATTGTATGAGTTCCAATGGTAGGATGATAAGAAGTAAAGGGGTCAGCACAATAAGCCATATGATCAGTAGCACCAGAATAAACCACCCAAAAATGATTAAAATCAGTACATGAAGAACGAGAAGAATAAGTTTTGAAGCTCATACCAGTCATAGCCAAAGCATTAGTATCAGATGGCTTACTCAGAGAATCAAGGATGGTTCGGAGCCGTTCCAACTCATCTTGACGAACGCAGGTTGGGTCTCATTAGGTGCAGGAGCTATTTCAGAGGAAGTAAAATGTGCTTGACCACGCATCCTTGCCATCTTTTCTAAGACCATTTGTTTTCCATGGAGGCGAAAGCATAGATCCTTGATATGACCCGTTCTTTTACAATAAGAACACCAGCGATCATCTTTCTTAGGTCTAGAAGATGCACCATCAGAAAAATTTGTAAAGGAGTTCCTTTGAGAAGAACCATCCCTTTTTGTTGAAATCATAGCAGACCCATCAGTGGGATTAGAATCAGAAGGAGTTGGAGTAGTAGCTTTAGATGAGAGCATAATGGACCCTTCGGACACTTTGGTATCCATCATGACAGCCCTGCGACTTTCTTCACCCCTGACAATGTGAAAAACTTCAGAAAGAGACGGTAATTTTTCCTTACCAAGAATTTGAACTCGAATAGGGTCATATTTTGAGTTGAGACCACAAAAAAAATCATAGATTCTATGGCGTTCAATGGAGGTGGTCAGAGTGGCTACATCCTTGCTACATTCCATCTTCAAATTCTCATACTGATCAAGCTCAGTCCATAACTTATTCATAATACCATAATATTCAGTTATAGAGAGAGAACCTTGCTTGGTAGAAAAGATCCGATTCCTCAGATCATAACAAGTGGCAGCATCTTGCTTCATTGAATAGGTCTGCTTAAGAACGTTCCAGATCTCAAGAGCAGTAGGTAAAAACATGCAGTGTTGACTAACCTCAGGAGTCATAGAGTTCCATAGCCACGTCATAATAAGTGAGTCTTCATCATCCCAATCAGCAAATGTTGGAGCTGTTTTGGCAGGAACAGGTCCTTCAATATGAGCAACTTTACGGCGTGCTTTGAGAATGGTACGAACGACCTGGGACCATTGTAAATAATTCTTTCCATTCAGACGATAATTCTGATGAAGAGCAGGAAGATCATTGTGACCAAGATGGGTCACCACAGATTGTGTAGAAGAATTTGTAGTTGTGTTTGCAAGGGTTGATTCAGTTTCAGCGTCGGAGGCCATACTGCAAAAAACTAGTCAAAGAAAAGCTCCAAGAAGCCAAAAAATACAGAAAAAATACCAAACGACGTCCGATCTGAGAGAAAAGCACAGATCCAGAAAGAGAATGAAGAGACGATCAGAACGCTTTTGGCCGGAGCTGGAAACAGTGAGCCACGCGCCTCCACGCGCCGGTGGAGGTGTCTGCGAGTGGGCCTCACTCGCCGGGAGTGTGGCGGCGCGTGAGAGCGCGTGCGACGGCCGCCGGAGCTGAGTTTTTTGCTGCGAGGTCGTCCGACGGTCGCGAACCTGTCTGTGGCCGGTCAGAGTTGAAAGGTCGCCAGAAAAGTGTCCAAAACATGATGAAAGTAGCGGCCTTGTGTTGTTTTGGGGAGATCCGGTCGTCAAACGATTATAACACATCTGTAAGCTGATAGATCAGAAAAAAAGAATTTGAAAACAGGTCCTCTTGGTCCACCGGGAAATTTTCCGGTGGCGGCTAATGGCGGCGAGAGGCTGAGAAAGAAGGTTTCTGTTTTAACAGAGGTAATTGCGGAAGCAGAGCCCTCAGAATTGAGAGCTCTGATACATAACTTGAAAAGGGGTATTCTGATATTATTGAATTGTGTGAATAATCTGATACAAAGAGGTCTCTATTTATAGAGAATAAAAGACCTAATTCTTGACCTAATGGGCTTGGCCCAATACAACAAATAATAATAAATGACTAATATTTACAACAAATTGTTTTTCATAGCCTGAAATATTTAGTTTTCTTAATTTAAGAAAAAAAATGTAAAAAATGATCCCATTTCTTCTAAGAATGGTTTTAGGCACTATACAAGTTACTTGTTTCATTGAATTTAATCAAAATACCAAATTATTAATTTAGATAGAATTAAGTCATCATTTTTTACCATTATTTTAAAGGACCAACTCTCCTAAAAACATACGTGTGTTTGGTCTGTGAAGATGTTTTCTGTTTTCATTAACTATAAAATGGCACCTTGTTTTTCATTTTGTTTCCCTGTTTTCAAATATTTGTACAAGAAATGGTAAAACACAAACCCAATCCTGGTTTTATATCTTTAACACACCTAGTCACAAAGAGTCCCATGTTCTTGAAGAGTGAACTTCTGACCACTTAGTCATATAGGCTCCAATGCCATATCAAGAACCCATTCTCCTAAAAACTTGTTGTTAGGTGGAGGCTGAATAATGGTTTTATATCTAACAATTGCATATAGAAACTTTCCTTACCACTACTATTACTAGAGCCTGTTTGGTGTGATGTATAAGGCCTGATAGTATAAGCTTATACTATACGTTATGACATTTTCAGTTGTTTGGTGTGACCATCGTATAGTATAAGCTTATACAGCAGGATTCCTTTATACATCAAAATGATGTATAACTTAATCCGGCCTAGGAGTGGTGGATTAGGTCTGATAAGGGGTTGATGTATTAATATTGATTACAAGTACAATTCCCAAGAACTAATATATCATTTCAATATATATATATTAAAATAAATTTTTTTAATATATTAAGTTTTAAAATATGAGAGGATATTATCTTATACAATATCATACCAAACGCTGGATAGTATTAAAATTTAATCAGGTCTTATACAATCAGGTCTTATACTATCAGGCCTTATCCTATACTATGCACCAAACATGCCCCTAGTTTATTTATATAATGGAAATTTAATTCCATAGAAAATCAATGAGCCACCAAATGCAAATAAAATGTAAACTCTATGTCATACTCAAAATGCAACCAAAAGCAATAAAAGTCTAAGTCTATATGCACAAAGACAGACACACACAGCTCCCATATGCCAGTTTTTCAAGTACAACATTGGTGGACTTGAGCCTATATGAAACAAAAAAAGTTAGTTGACAAATATCAACATAAACACCATGCACTGTTGTGCCATTCAACTACAAGTAAAATCTGGAATAGAAAAAACTATGCCAGTTCTGAACCTTAGACATGACAAGTAGATGGCATGTGGAGTGTAGATGTATAAAAGAATTATGCTTTTTCATCTTGGGGATTCTAGTTGTTCTGTAGAAAACACCTTAGTTCCATATGAGCCTTTAACACTCATGGATGCTTCACATTTTTCACAGCTGTCAATTGTATGCAGCATTGAAGAATTGGAAGATTCATTCTGTACATCAACAGCATAGGCAATGTTTCCAAAATCGGTATGCTGTCGACATGTAGGGCACATAACCCAATTATGAATCTTGCTATGCTGAAGTCTTTTCTCAGTCATAGCAAATAAACCTGTAAGAAATAGAAGCATAGTTATGTTTCATATCATATTTATTTCAAAGTCAATAAATGCTTAACCTTATGTCTGTTGAACACAGATGGATGAGAGTAACACTAAAAGAATATGCACTATGCATACTGCTACTATTTGCTTTACTGGATGTTTTACACGATCATGGTGAAACACATATGATCAATGCTAATACAATACAACAGTGTATTCTAGAAGTGCAGAAAAACAAATGAAAAATTATTGTAAATATTAGAATTAGTATTTTATTTATTTGTAATAGCTAGAATACTCTAGAAGTGTATTTTGGGCTTAGCCCATTAGGTCTTCCAGTACTCTTTATATAGAGAGCTCTTGTACAGATTTTATACAATTCAATATTACAATTCCTTATTATTAAATTCAAGTAAATAAATAAATAAGAAGACTTAAGATTAAAGAATAATTGTATATTGAATAATCATAGTGTGTTACAATGTACAAGAGCTATCTATTTAAAGAGACTAAAAGACCTAATGGGCTGAGCTCATAAGATGTGGGACTATATATACTGAACTATTCTTATAACTATTCTAACACTCCCCCTCAAGCTGGAGCATATATATTGTAAGCACCCAGCTTGCCACAAATATATTCAACCCGAGGACCCCTAAGAGCTTTAGTGAAGACATTCGCGAGTTGATCATTGGAGTTGACAAATTCCGTTTTGATTTCTCCTGACTGAATCTTTTCTCGAATGAAATGACAATCGATTTCTATATGTTTGGTTCTCTCATGAAATACAGGATTAGAGGATATATGTAGTGCAGCTTGATTGTCACAAAGGAGAGTCATGGGTTGCTTCTGTTCATAGAGATGGAGCTCCCGAATCAACTGCTTTAACCAGATTAGCTCGCAGGTAGCAACTCTCATTGCACGATACTCGGCCTCTGCACTAGATCGGGCAACAACAGTTTGTTTCTTACTTTTTCAAGAAATCAGGTTTCCTCCAAAGAAAACACAATAGCCTGAAGTAGAGCGCCTATCCGAGGGTGATCCTGCCCAATCGGCATCTGAATAACCACAAATTTATGTATTTCCCTGATCTGAATATAATAAACCTTTCCCTGGTGCTCCTTTGATGTAACGAAGGATCCTAACAGCAGCATCCCAATGAGAATCACACGGAGAATCAAGAAACTGACTAGCGACACTAACAGCAAAAGAAATGTCCGGCCTAGTCACAGTGAGATAATTGAGCTTCCCAATCAACCTTCGATAACGTCCAGGATCATATAATGGTTCTCCTTGTCCGGATAGTAATTTGATAGTAGGATCCATGGGTGTATCAACTGGCTTACACGCCAACATACCAGTCTCTTCTAGGATATCCAAGGCATATTTCCTTTGACAGATAGAAATGCCCTGTCTAGACTGTGCTACTTCAATTCCTAAGAAGTAACGAAGCTTACCAAGATCCTTTGTTTGAAATTGACTGAACAAATACTGTTTTAACTGATGAATCCCAACTTGATCACTTCCAGTGAGAATAATGTCATCGACATAGACTAACAGATAGATGCATTTGTCAGGAGATGTGAAACTATCAAACACAGAATGATCGACCTTACTGCGGATTAAGCCAAAAGCCTGAACAGCAGAACTAAAACGGCTGAACCAAGCTCGAGGGGACTGCTTGAGGCCATATAAGGACTTACGAAGTCTGCACACCATCCCAGACTCCCCCTGAGCAACAAACCCAGGTGGTTGCTCCATGTAAACCTCTTCTTGTAAATCACCATGAAGAAAAACATTTTTAATGTCTAGTTGAAGGAGTGGCCAGTGACGAACAACAGCGAGGGCAAGAAACATTCGGACAAACGCCATCTTAGCGACAGGAGAGAACGTGTCACCATAGTCAAGTCCGAATATCTGAGTAAAACCTTTGGCGACTAAGCGTGCCTTGAGACGGTCAATATGGCTATCAGGTCCAACCTTGACATTAAAGACCTACCGACAACCAACAATAGACTTCTCTGGAGGAGCAGGAACAAGATCCCAAGTGCCATTGGAATGAAGAGCAGTCATCTCATCAAGCAACATTTGGCGCCACCCTGGATGGGAAAGTGCTTCACCTGTGGTCTTAGGAATAGAAATAGAAGAAAGACTAGAAACAAAGGTGTAATGTGAAGTAGAAAGACGGTCATAGCTTAAAAAGGTATGAAGAGGATAAGGGTTAAGAGTAGTACGTATACCTTTTCTTTGGGCGATAGGAAGAGCCTCTGGTGAAGGAGCCGAAGGTGAAGAGATGACTGGAGAGGACGATGAGTCACCCAGGGCCAAGTCTGCAGGAGGAACTTTATGACGGCGCTGATAGGTGAGAAAAGGGCGGTCAACAGGGATGAAGACAAGAGATCTGTCCTTTGGGAGAGAGTCACCTGCAACTGGTAAAGACAATTCAAGAAAAAGAACAGAAAGAACTTGATCAACCTGTAACAACTGAGAATGATAGAATGAAAGGGTTGTTGATCAAGGAAAGTGACATCAGCAGAAACAATATAACGCTTAAGATCACGAGAATAACAACAATAACCTTTTTGAATACGAGAATAACCAAGAAAGATACACTGAAAGGCTTTGGATGTTAACTTATCCTTACCAGGAGTGAGATCATGAACAAAACAAGTACAATCAAAGACATGTTGAGTTAGAGGATAAAGAGGAGCATCTGGAAACAATAGATTATAAGGAATGTCATTGTTGAGCACAGATGAAGGCATGCGATTGATGAGAAAACAAAAGATGAGTACAGCATCTGCCCAAAAGTGAAGGGGAACCTGCATATGAATAAGAAGGGTACGGGCAGTTTCAATGAGATGTCTGTTTTTACGTTCAGCCACCCCATTTTGTTGTGGAGTGTGAGGACAAATAGTTTGATGTAAAGTACCTTGTGTGGCCAAGAAATTAGAAAAATCGAAAGAAACATATTCCTTAGCATTATCACTACGTAGAATACGAATAGAAACACCAAATTGAGTATGAATCTCAGTAGAAAACTTTTTATAAATGGAAAATAACTCAGAACGATAATTAAATAGATCCAAGTGCAACGGGAAAAATCATCAATAAAGGTAACGCAATACCGAAAACCTAAAACAGACAAGGTACGACTTGGACCCCAGATATCTGAATGAACAAGAGAGAAAGGGGTATCAGCTCGTTTATTGACTCGACTGGCAAAAGAGGAGCGTGTATGCTTCCCTTGTTGACATGACACACAATCTAAAGACTGAAGACCGGATAAAAGAGGAACCATTTTCTGCAACTTTGAAAGACTTGGATGATCGAGGCGACTGTGAATAAGTTGTGGAGATTCTGTGAGAGAGCATGCCACTGAAGGACGAGGCACATCCAGATAGTAAAGCCCCCGTGACTCACGACCCACTCCAATCATCTTCCCCGTACCCGGATCCTGCACAGAAACAGAATGGTTAGAGAAAGTAATGGTGCAAGTGAGGGAGTGGATCAATTTACTAATAGAAATTAAGTTATAAGGGATGCCAGGAATGTAATAAATTGATGTCAAGGCCAAGGTAGAGGTCGGACGAGCTTGTCCAATCCCACGAACTGGGGCTTTGGTTCCATCAGCAAGGGTTAAAGAAGGTAAATGATCAGAATAAGTAAGAGATGTAAAGAGTTCCTTATTACCACAGAGATGATCGGTAGCACCTGAGTCAAATATCCAAGTGCCAAATGATGTAGAATGAGAAACACAAGCAACGGGATTACCAGTATATGGCTGAGACTGAGGAGAAGCCTTCCTGAGAAGAGTTTAGAGTGCAGCATAGTCCGCAGGTGAGAGAGAACCTGAACCAAATGATTCATTGTTTGACTGAGCTATATTTGCAACAAGAAAGGTGGCCCAATCTTTGTAGTTGTCAGAATCCTTCAGTTTGGAAGATGTAATGGGCCCAATATTAGTAGAGATGATTCCTGAGGAAGTTTTGGCAGGAGGAGAAAGAGAGTTAACCTTCGAGAGATCAAGGGATGCTGCTGCCATTTAAAGACAAAATATAAAAGCCGTAAACGAAGGTAAACGATATCCAATCAAGGAGAACCACTAGTTTGTCCAGGAACGACCGGAAAAAGACGCTGGAATAGTGCACACGCGCCGGTGAAGGGTGGCGCGTGAGCACCACGCACAGGGAGAAGGAGCGGCGCATGAGAGCGCGTGGGGGCTCCTCTGATGACGGGTCTTCCACAGACTTGGTCTCCGGAGAGAGAGGGCTCTGATCGCAGGCTTTCCGGTTGAAATCGACGCCGGAACAGTGCTCTAGTGGCCTGAACAGTGACGAACGGTGGTTGTTGGCAGCGGGAAGTGGTTCTGACAGTTGAAGAAACAAGCCGGAGAGACACACGGCTTAGAGAATCTGCCGGAGGGACACACGGCTGATGAAAAACTTGCCGGAAGAATGCACGGCAAAGTAGAAGAGAACACCTAAGCAGTGGGCTTAGGGTTTTAGCGGAAGCGGATCCCCATAGCGAAAAAACTCTGATACCATGTAAAGAACCAATTCAACCCAAAAGCTTAAGCTATTGGATGAGGCTACATTAATGATTTTATATATCTCAACAAGCTGTTGGGTGAGGCTACATTAATGGTTTTATATATCTCAACACGTCCCTTCACACGAGAGCCCACTGGGCTTGAAGGGTGGATAATGCACAGGCCCTCCTAACTGTGCGAAGAAAGAAATTCCACTAGAAAGAAAGTGGGGGGCAGTGAGGATCGAACCCGGGACACGAAGCTCTGATACCAACTTAAGATTAAAGAATAATTGTATATTGAATAATCATAGTGTGTTACAATGTACAAGAGCTCTCTATTTAAAGAGACTAAAAAACCTAATGGGCTGAGCTCATAAGATGTGGGACTATATATACTGAACTATTCTTAGAACTATTCTAACAAGAAGAAGAAGAATCTCGTGTCCCGGGATCGATCCTCGCCGCCCCCCCACTTTCTTTCAAGTGGAATTTCTTTGTTCGCACAGGTAAGTGGGCCTGTGCATTATCCACCCTTCAAGCCCAGTGGGCTCTCGTGTGAAGGGGCATCTTGAGATATATAAAACCATTAATGTAGCCTCACCTAACAGCTTAAGCTTTTAGGATGAATTGATTCTTTACAAAAATAAAAAGATTTTCTACATTATACAATAGCAATTATATGTCTGGTAACACTGAATGAAGTATCATCTAGGTCTGGGGAAAACTTATCGAGGACCAATTCTCCTAAAACTTGCAACATATCTTCCCTTCACACAAGAACACTTAAATTTGTGCTTGAAGTGTAGACAGTGCACATACCCTTATTAAACATGTGCTAAAACTCAGTATTTTATGTAGAAGAATGGAAACAACAAAGATCGAACTCTTGACCACTTGATCATAAAGGATCCGATACAATGTTAAGAACCAACTCTCTTAAGAGCTTAAGATGTTAGGTGAAGACTTATGAATGACTTTGTTACAACTCAAACACAACTATAGAATGATAACAAAGTTTGGTCATATAATACTTACATTTACAGCATGTAACATGCCCACATTGAAATACCATTTTCTGATTGCCTAGCTTTTCTTGGCAAACTGGGCATGTTTGATCATCAGCTTTGGATATGAGTGCACCCTTCTCTTCAGTAGAGTTTGACATTGTAGTTGTCTCTTGAGAGAAAGAAGAACTATCTGGACTTTCCAATGGCAGTTTTTGCTTAGATTGAACCAAACCCTGAAAAATGGTTCAGCTTAGGTTGAATGTCCAAAGCAAAAAACAAAATTTTGTAGATTCTATGGAATCTAAGGAAGCTCAGTTCAAATTTGAAAATAACATGTTGATTTTTTTGTGAGATCAGCAAATGACAACCACCATGACAAAAATGCTTTAGGTGGATCATAAATTTAAACCCATTATCCTGCCCAAAACAAGAAAAAGAAAAAGAAAATAACTTAAAAAAAAAAAACAATTAAGCCTTCCAATCTTGCTGAAATACTCAAAACAAAACAAAATGTTGGTTCATGATTACTGTCAAGAACAATTCTCAGAAATGGTTTTACATCTAACAAATTACATGCCCCTCATGCATGAGCCCTTCAGGATTGAAAGTGTGTACAATAAACTATTCCACGTTATCTTATGCTGAAATTTTTAAGTTTATTATGAAGAATGAATGAGGGCAACAAGAAATGAACTCCTGGTTACCTCAGAGTCTTTCGTACCATGTCCAAAACTAACTCTCCTAAAAACTTAAGTTGTGTTACATTGACACCCATGAGTGATTCTAACAATTGCTAATGAAAATATTCAGTTATGAAGATTTCAGTTACAGTCAAATCCCCCATAGACTTCAGCAGTATCTGCAAGCTTCAATGGTCACCATTAATTGTTCAGGGGTGATCAATTTGATTATTAGAAATTTAGCAACTACAGAGTAAATTAATTTCAACACATACAAATTTCTAAGGCTTATTTCTCTATACCTTTAAGTAGCGGAGTTTTCCTTTTATCTGTGACAACAAGGTCAATGACATAAACTTATCGTGGGAAAAGCTTGAGCTAGCCGCATATAATTCATTTTCACCTAGAGCATCAAGAGATTGATCATTTTCATTTGCCCTTAGGTGCAAACGGGAAATCGCCATCATTATTTCATCATGGGAACGCAGATATTGAGCTTGAGCTAATGCCAAAGACCTTGCATGGCCAAACTCCTTTCGCATTCCCTTACAAAGTATCAGAACTCAGTGAATATAGGTTCTTAGAAGAGATAAACTCAGATTTCAAAATGATTCCAGTAGAAAAAAATCGGTCAATTATTTCTTTTTGCTACTGAGTATAACCAACCTATCTTCAAAGATTTCCCTAGATTAATTCCTCCTCGAGGAATCCTATCCAGCCATTCAACAGTAGATAAGCATAGAAAATATTTCATCAGGCTATACCTCAAAAATATGTAAATGCTTGGTGGCAGCTGAAACCCTGTCTCTTCCCAACCGAACCTTGCAATAGCTTTTTATAACTCCAAGAATAAGCTCCAACTCAGATGCTGATCTTGAAACCTAATTAACCCAACATAATCAATATGGAAGATTAGAAAGCACATGCAATATATTTCAAGTGCCAACTGAGATTTTCTAAAATGAAAAAGAAGGCTGTCATCATTTGTAGTCAAATCCAAATCTAATTTCTGCAGAGGGCAAGTGTCTTGACTTTAAAGCAATATACACCGGGGATATGGACAAAGGGAATGGTGAAATTTAATACAAAAATGACTTGAGAATTATACTGTGCAACGGAGCATGGTGTTGAATTCGTTGATATATTTCAGTACTCTTTTATTCTTTTTTATTTCGTTTTTCGTTTTATTACAATTCAACAGACACTGAACACTTTGACTCAATGAAAGAGAAGAAGTATTATGCTAATATGCTTAACCATAAAAATAAAAATAAAAATAAAAATAAAAATAAAAATAAAAAACGAGAAGGAAAGAGAAGAGGTATAATCAATCTGCATCCATCTTAACTCAAAGCAAGAGTAAATTAAATGAACTAACTAACCACAACTCTTTGTCCAACATTCCTTTTTTTTGATTCTTCATAACCAATATCAGATCCGGTTGAACTATGATTAGATTGTGATAGCTTTGAGAGGAAATGATTCAATGCAAAATTTTTCTTCTGAAAATCTACTGCCTCAGCCGATGAAATTATCCCTCCACGTTCATTCTTAAGAACAAAGAGTCTTGCTTCATATTCCTGAGGATAAAAAAAAACCATGAGACATATTACATCCATTAGATGTGGATGAATCAAATTGACAGATAAGCTCAGTTGCAAACCTGAAACAATTCATCTAGTTCACACAGAACACATGGGGGACCATCACAATTAGGTTGACAATTTTGGCATTTACCCACGCGTTCAATATCTTCTTCTTTTGGTTTTTCCATTGTCTGATCAATTTCTAACAGTCGATCTAATAGCACTTTCCTAGAGGCCTCTAGCTGATCCAAACCTGTCTGAATTTGATACTTCAGAGAGCTTATGCTCCGGAAACTGGATTAGTAGTAATATATTTTAGTCTCAGTGCATGTCATAGTCAATTTAGTAATTATCATTTATCAAAATCTTAGCAAAGAATTTTTTTTTGTAATGAACCAACTATCTCAAAAGTTTAAGCCGTTAGGTGATGACACATAAATCGTTTTATATTAACATCTCTTACTCGCTCTCTCACACAAGAGCCCTTTGAACTGTTCGTGCAGCAGCAATGGTGGGTTCTGTTTAATAGTGAAACTGTTCGTGTTCTGGGGACAGGGAGAGGTGATTTGCTAATCTAAGGAATACCCTTTTAACTTAGAGAGTCTAAATAAGAGAATGAAACACCATACTCTTAACACATATAACCTAAAACACAGTTTACTGCAAGTACATTTATGTTGTTGATGTCAGTTAACTGTAATACATTGTCCAGCAACTTTTTTATGCTTATGCTACGTATTCAATACAGCATAACTTAGAAAGTTAAGAATATGGGTTATCACAAAACTGCACTACTCGACAGGCATCTTACAAAATCAAAGCATCACTAACCGAGAAGCTATTCTTGATGACTTTGAATTGTTTGAAGTTCCTGAGATGGCTTCTTCAATCTTTCTAAGCAACTCAGTCGAGAAATCCTTGTTCTGCTCAGCATGATCAAACGCTTCTAACCACCAAAATGTATTTTGATCTGTTTTGCTGTCACGATATGCATTACAAACCTACAAAAAGTCCAAATGTCATTTACAGAAAATAGAAAGTGGTGGGAGAAGGGGAAGGGAGAGGATACTACTAGGTAAGGAAAATAATAAAAAGGAAATATCATCAAAGCAAGAAAAACCCTGAATAGACTTCCGTCTTCAAAAAATTTATAATACTACAATAACTCAACAAAGCATGGTGTTGTTTTGCATCTCAAAGTATCAACTAAATAAGATTAAGATGGCTTAACATCAAAATGAAGCAAGTGATATATTTTCTTCTTTTGGCCTGTATAAGTAGTGCAACTTGTATTCCTTCCTTTAAAAGGAGACATAAGTATTGTAATTCAGTTCTATGAAGCACAAACACAGAAAAGGACACCGGACATGACACGGACAGGTACAATGTAAAAAATATAGGACACTGGGACACAACACTATATATATCTCTGTGTGTATGTGTGTGTTGTGTGGGCACGCACATGTAGAAGTTAAATGATTTAAATTAGAGCAATAAGACAAAATAACTATATTGAGAATCGGGATTGATATATTCACCTTCTCAAAACAACTTGCTAAGCTTTACATTTTCCCTCTAAAGCCTCACAAAAAAAATACCAAGAGGCACCATTATACAATGTAAGCACTTTGTCTCTTACAAAAAGATTCCAAAACAAGCAGATGAACTATATCTCTAACCTTTAGCCTATCAACAGCCTCTCTAACTTTGGTTCATCAAGTGACAAATTAGTAACATCAAGAATTCCACAATCATCAAGTCATCGAAAATCATCTCCAGCTATATCCCTCATTTTTAATTATTTTTTTATACTTTACGTTGAATTTGCTGAAAGTTATTTAAAAAAAAGAGTAATTTTTTTAAAAAAAATTGTCAAGAGCCATGTCCTTCAAGTGTCCAGCCATATGTGAGTGTTAGTTGAGTGTCCCAGCAATGCCTGGAGCATGTTCTAGCCGACCAAATATATATATATATATATATATATATATTAATTGGAGATGAGATAAGCAGTCCGGCATTTGTTATAAGTGTGTCCGACACCTCAATAAGGAGCAGTGTCCATGCTTCATATCAGTTTGCATGAAATTAAACTGAGTGAACCAAGGTGAATTGTGTCTTACAATAGAATATGACGATTGTTAGAAGGATCTCGGGAAAAGGTGTTAGGTTGTGCCATTCAAATAAGTCACATAGATGGTCATAGAAATGGTTGCTAAGGCTTAAATTAATGATGGACAAACTCTGTATTAGGAATCAAAGTAGTAAGAAATAGTTTGGTTATATCCAATTTTGGGTAAATAAGATACTATACACACAGACTTCTTAAACTTCTTTGCAAGTCACAGGAAAATATCAACTTATATTTACAAGATACTAGACTCCACTGAAAAAAAATCTCAAAATTTAATACAAATAATTAAATAATTTTTCCTTAAGACCCATTTAGGATATTTACCTGGATGTAAGAATTTTGAAACTCCTGCTGAGCTGCAGATAGCTTTGAACTGAATACGGATAAGTATTTCTGTTTTAAATCTTCACATTCTGCTATCAGAGATTTGACAGAACTGGCTGATACACTATCAAATTCCCAATCCTCATTTAAGCTATTTTCTGATGGGCTAGATGCAACATTTGATGGTTCTACAGAAGCCGCTGTTAAATTCATGTTATCACATCCATTTATTTTTTGCCTCTTCACCTGACAATGATCAACCTTTTCAATAAAATGCTTTCTTGTCATCTTAACTGCAGAAGTTCCAGAGAACTGCTTTCCTTTGGAGAGCAACATTAAAGCAAAGTTTGCAACCAGTGGGAGTATTTCAGCAAGATTATGATGAATGTGGATATTTAACAAAGGATCCAGGCGGAAATCTTCAGAATGCTCTTCAGCCAAAGTAAGAGCTTCATTGTAGAGCAATGCAGCTTGAGAAAAATCCTTTTGTATTGTAGCTATTGCTGCAAGCCCATTCAGAGCAACAACTAACCTCCTAAGAGCTTCCTCACCTTCTATCTTGGTTTTACTTATAAGAACCTACAAATTAAGTTCCATGTTGATTGAAAAACATATGTGCACTGTATGTAAAAACTTATTAAAGATCCTAACAAATAACACACCATTAGTATTTCCTCCATGGTCATAGGCGACTGCTGCAGGGACCGTAACCCAGAACTTCCAACCTGGGGGTGACAACAAGCCTGACGAAGCTTCAGCAAAGCATTCAGTAGCTTCCCTGCCTCTGTGTGAGTGATTAATGGATCAGAGGAACCATTCAATGATACAGAACCTGGAATCCGCATGAAGTATTGCAAGTTCAATCATTATCCCAGATGCACATTGCTTTCAAATGACTTTTAAAATGAAATTAGACAACACTGAGCAAAAACCTGGGATACTTCTATTCAGAATATCATTTCTCAGATTTTCAATAACTTCATGGGAATCTCTAACACAAGTTTCATGTTGCCTCTGGTAAAAGTGCTCTTCTACTGATGAGAGTGTAAGCCAAGAGAGGCATTCCACTTGGGAGGGAAGGTCCAATTCATCTGCAACATGTTCTTTAGAAGAACGCCACATGATTTGTTTGAAAAATCTGTGTGTAAATTCCATAGCTCTTATATCTCCCTTCTGCATAAGTATGGAGCAATAGCTAAGAATATATGAAATGTACAAACCTTTTTTAACTTTGCTGAAAGAGAAGTGATTTAGATCCGGGACAAGACAAATTAGAGAAATCTAAACTAAGATAATATTGCAGAAAGGTTACTAATTGTCTCTAAACACACAAGGCCTACAGCATGTCATATGAGAATACAATTAGGACATTTAGCTCTAGCTGCTTAGACCGTAATATTGTCTTTGGCTATTAGATTACCATAAGGGAATACAACAAACTCAGCTTACAACATTCCATTTTTATTTATAAAATGAAAATGGAAAAAAAAATCTGAGTAATAAGGAAAGTCAATCAACAATAAATAAGTTAAACATTAAATTACAGAGAAAATACCTCATAAGGATCTCGAATAACTTCAGTCCACCACCTGTTTTCATTGAAAGGACTAGCTTTAAGAAATCTTAAAAGTCCATAGAGGTCATCAAGCTTTCGCTGAATTGGGGTCCCTGTAATGCACCAATGATGCTTCGAATGGAGTCTCAGAGCCATTTCAGTGGCAGCAGTAGTATTACTCTCCACCATTTGAGCCTCATCCAAACAAACCCTCCACCAGTATATTCTGGTAAGAAGAGTTGGGATAACTGGGTACCTACAAGAAAAAAAGGCTACTAAAATACTTGGGTCATAAAGGAAATATACAGATCCAAACTTTTTCTAGTATATGATATGAGTAATCATGAGCATGTTTTGTTGTAAAGGTTTAAAAAATAAAAAGTAAAATATAAAGATAATATTAACACCTCAAAGACACACAAAATGAGAATCTGATGAATGAAATACGGTGAAACTCAGTATAAACTCATGTTGTCATTCTCAATTGGATAGGTAGAAGATCCTACATATTATATCATAACAAAGGGATAAATATGACACTCTTTAGAGCAAACCTTTTCTGAAATCTCAGAAAGTGACGATCACCTTCATGTCTATAAGAATCATGGGACAAATCCTCTTTAAGCACATCATACGTAGTTATTACAATGTCAGCACTGGCAAGATCGCTGATATCCATCACAGATGTATTGGATAAAGATGTGTCTCGCACGCCTTCATAAACACAAGTTTTCAAGGAGCCTGGAAGTGTATGACTATAGTGACAATTAAAAGTTAATGAGACAGTTATAAGTACAATTAAATTAAATCACTCAAAAAGAATTACACTGTATGACCCAATTCGGAAAAATTATCCAACTTCTTCATGTCTAAAGAAACTAAATCTTGTAAAATGCTGTGAATTGTAAGCCCAAAAGATGACATGCAATATACCAATATAACACGCAATATAGACTCAAAAGTAGTAGTAGCTTGCAACATGTGACGTGAGCTTTAACATGTCCAACATTCATAATTTTCATCATGAAAAAACTATACCGTGTAATTTCATCATGCCACTGGGGCAAAATAGGAGCTGGACAAACAATGAGAGTGGCACCAGAGGCAACCGGAGATTCAGTAGCTTGTATTAGTTCAGAGCACATCTGACATGCATATTCCCCATCCCTCACAGATATGGTGGTTTTACATGTCTTGTTTTCACATCCTTGTTTTGATTTCAGTGATTTACCTTTAGGTGAATAACCAACACAATCAGCATGTTGCCAAGCATCACAAATGTCACACTGAACCCATAGACCTTGATATTTGAGACTTTCACTCACAGCTCCACATATGCACTCCACACGCTCTCTTTTGAGTCTTTTTAAAGTTAGGTTTTGGTCCCCGTTAACTTGAGGCACTGAATCAATCATTATCTCACTTCCAGATGCTGATCTCCGGTGAGCAAAGATACAAGCAAGCAATTCAACAGTTTTTCCCAAGCCCATCTCATCTGTTGCATTAAAAAAATTGAGTCACAGAGAACAGAACTTTCCCTTGTACTGAAAAATGGAAAATTATATAAATAAAACACCCACACAGTTTGTCAATAGTATCAATAAAGAACATTAACCTTCAAACTAGTACTGCTCAGATTTCAGAACAAATAGGCATTACAGTTACATACTCAGTCTTCATCCTACCAGCCATTAAACATTTACAAAGTTTAGAAAACAAACATGCTCATGGTACTCAATCAGGAAAATAAATTTTTTCCCTGAAATAAGATTTCAAACATCTTTATACAACTAGTCTCTTTGACTAAGTGGTAACTGATAAGGAGTTCAATTCTGACCACCCTCAATCTATTTGTAATTCAATTAAATTCTAGCAAAAGGTTGTGGTAGACCAGTAATTTGTCCAGGCTAAAATCTTGAGACTTCTGCATGAGTGAGCGTGATATAGATATAAATTCCTAGGCATGCACCTAACAACTTAAGCTTCCAGGTTGATATTGCCAATATTTATGGTGCAAATTGACAACAATTTTTTTACCAATATGTTTGGATATTGTCAAATACCAACTCTCTTAAAAGATTAATATATTACCCAAAGCTCACGAATGGTTTGTCTCTAATATGCCCCTCATAAAAGAGTCCTTTAGGTTTAGACATGTCCAATGCACATGCCAAATGACCTTGTGCTGAAATATAATTTAATTATGAAGAATAAGAGAAACAAGAATTGAACTCTTGACCAAGACCAACTCCCAAAAAGCTTAAACTATTGGAAGAGGCCAAAGAGTGGTTTATATGTATAATAGATACAAAAAGGCATTGATTGGACTTTCAACAGCATAGAGAACAGGATGGTATCAGCAGACTCATATTGATCATGCACCCACAAGATTCCATGGGTTTATTCATCAAGTAATAAATTTCATTGAAAACTGTCAAGTCATTAATATGTCAAGTGGGTCCAACTAGGAAAAATACAATTTCTTTTTTAAAAAAAAAAAAAAAAACTTTTTACCACAGTAAAATATCTAAATTCTAAGCAAAAATCCAAATGATTATATGAGGAAATAAATGAAATACGCAACATAGCTTGGGACCTACCAGCAAGAATGCCTCCAAATACACAAGGCGAAGAAGTCTCTGGGCACAACGAAATATTTCCACTGAAGCCATTGTAACTCAAATAAGCATAAGGAGAGAAAGGAAAGGAAGCATCATAATAGAGTCGGGGGAGAGAGGGAAAGTGAGACCGTCAAGACATGATTATGCATTAGATAAGAATGCATATATACTATATTTTGAAAACTGGACAATAAAACTTACTTGAATGGATTGAAAAACATTTTAGAACTTGTGTCAAGAAAATCCACAGGCACACTTAATGGAGAAAGAAACTGATTTCTTTCTCTTTCACTCTGACTTTCTTCCATTGCTTTCTCCCGTTCTACCATCCAGAAAGCTGCACGCCTTTGATATGGCCTCAGTTCAGGAAGTAACTCAGGTATGTCATCATCAAGCATTGGCGCTGCTCTGTATGCATGATATAAAAGCGATAAGCTAAAAGCTAAACAAAAAATTGACAGGAGAATGATTGTAAAGCTTGGATGAAGTTAGAAGTATGTTATTATATGAGCAGTCAACCATTATAATAATTATTGTTATCTTAAATTAGAGATCAAGACCAAAGAGAACGCCTAACTTACTTTGAAGGCTTAATGGCTTCATAAAAACCTGAAGGATCAAACCTTGCATATTTCCTGGTGTAGCAAATGTCATCTCCCTTCTCTGTCTGTGGATCAACTTCCATTTTCATACAGCTACCAAACCCATACCTAACTTCTGAAGTCATTGTTTCTGGACGTAGCCAAGACATGATATTCATCATACTCTTTTTCCATAGTTGTCTAGAACCATCAAGAAGTGACTCGCATGCATCAAAAGCACTCTTTAGTACCTCTACCCTTACTCTGAGGGAGGGAATGTCCTCAGAAAGCCTAATCCCACAAATTGCCCTTACTGTAACAAATTTCAAACTTACCAAGTGAATAAGACCAGAAACACCTTCATCAGGTCCATCAAAAATACCAGATAACAACACTGTACAAGTTTCCATATGCTCAACTGTAACTCTTTTGACAAACTCTAGATGAATATCAGTATATGGTAAAACAGGCCAATGGCCTATTCGACCAAGAACATTATTGGCATTACACACCCGAAATCTTAATGAATAGTGAGGATCCTGATAAAAATCCTCAGACAGTTCAAAACCAGAAAAACCTTCTCTCAAATTTAAATCCCTTAAAACTACTTCAGAAATATCAAGGTGTTCACTGGACAACCAACCAGACCGGTCAACGTCAACAAAATAAGGTTTATCAATGTCACCAGAATCATTCTTCTTTTCTTCCCCTGCTTCTACAACATTCTGTTTATCCAAATCTGTTTCAGCAGTAGCATTTGTTTCTAATATTATCCCACCTGATCGATGTGGTTTACTTTTTCGTCTACCCATCACTTAGCACCACTGGCAAAAAAAATTATAAGAAAAATAAAAAAAATCAGCTAAGCATATTTATAGAGTACTAAGATTATTTATGATATCAAGTAATCTTTATGAAACAAAGAATTTCATTTGGACTTCGGTTCTCAAACAGCATAAGCACAAAACCAGAGGAAAGGCCGTTATTATATAATAACATCAAGTTAAGAACAAATAAACCACAGTTAAACATAAGCTCAAAAGGTAAAGAACAAATGCAGAAACATTCAAAAGTTGACAAATGTAACTACCCAACAACAAAGGGTTAGAAAGAACAGAGCTTTAAGTGAAATTTAACAGAACTGAATCAAAGGGTAGGAGCAAAAACATAGAGTGGGAACAACACCGCCATTAAAAAAAAAAAAAATTAAAAACAGAAATTTTATTACATAGCCATTGACTAATCTCAAATTTCAACACTTTGTGCATGGAACAAGTACACCGATAAGTGTTGCACGTTAAATTGTGAATTGAAAGAAGGAAGGGAATTATGGAAATGGAACCTGAAGAGAGCAAGAGAATCACCGAGTGAACAGAACATGAATTGGGGAAAGCATGCAACAGGAGACTGAGTCGCACGCGCGAGGTAGCGAGTTCGCGAAAATCGTAAACAGGTTTGAAGAGATAGAAGAAGGGAACCAGGGTCACTGTTTCTGTTTGACAAGTCCTTGGTTTAAGATCAGGTTAATTTTTGGAATACATGTTTGACGTAAAAATTTTGTGTTTATCTTTTTTTTTTTTTAAAAAAAAAAAAACAAATTTTAATGTTTGTGTTTTCAGCAAATCCAATGGTATTGATTCGACTGTGATTTTAATGATATGACCTTTCTGTCCCATTTCTTATACTGAATTTACCTTGATCACCAGAGCAAGAGAAATTTATAATTAGGTTACTACGTTATCATCTAACCATTCAAAATTGAATTTTTAATTAGCTAACAAGAATTACTTGAAAGTTGAAACACTTCAGCAAATAATTTTTTTATTTTATTTTTTGGTAAAAAGCAAATAAATTTTTTAATCCAACTGAACTATAATTTTGGTAAGGAAAAAGGTAGAAAGAGACGAGAAAATGAATACAAGAAGAATATGAGTGACACTGGTAAAATGAATACACGTAAATTAAAAGATCACAATATGAAAATTGAATTTTCATAAAATATGAAAAAATATTTTTCCAGTTTATATATGTATAAAATTAATTCTGAGTTTGTTTATCAGAGCTTGTTTGCTATGGTTGGAGAGTACGTGTTTCTTTTGTAAATATAGAAGAGAAAAAAATTGAAAAGAAAAAAGAAATATAAATGAAATAATAATTTACCTTTTTTAAAAAAGAGTGCTGGAACACAATAAAAAATTTTCGTTTATCATGATCTGAATGATTTTAAGATAAACTTCATATCGTAATTTACAATTCTTATTTTTGTTTTCGTCGCTAAATTTCAGAAGAGCGTGCGGTTTGTCTTACATAAAAAGCAAGTCAATATTTACATTTTAATTAAAAAGCCACTCAATATGTTATTCACTTTATTTTTTAAAAAAGAAAAAGAAAATTATAATTTTTTATATTATTCATCGATTCGTCAATTATTTCAATCCGAGCATATTATCCAAAAAGAAATGTTTTCATGCTGATATTATGTCTCTATGTTGGTGAACAAATGATTTATTTATTTGTTTTAGCACAATTGTTGAAAACTAATGAAATTAAGCCTTGCTATCGTAGAAGCCAGAAGGGGAGTAGTGAGATAATGCAATCACCCCCTTGCCAAATGTAAAGTAAGAATATCTACGAGACTAACCCATTACAAAGCGAAAGGTTAAGCTAGTATTTGTTTCGGGATAAATTTTTTTTTACTAGAGAAATGTAATTGATAGAGAAATGGTTGGAAAATGAGTTTGGTAGGAAAATGTAAAAAAAGTTGTTTGGTCGGCCGAAATATTATCAGGAAAATTTATTTAAATATGCAAAATCTATGTTCGAGAGAAACTTTGCACATGTTTTTTCACTTCCCCAGTTATCTCAAAACACCACATCTCAAGTGGTATTCTGTAACAGTGAATTTCATCCAAAAATCAACACAAAAGTCATTTTCCCATCTATCCTATTTGTCTAGTATTTTTTAAAAAAACCTGAACCAAACGTGATATTTTCCAATATCTGTTATACTTTTTTATCAATCCCAAAATAAACCTTCAACCAAACATAATAACTTTAAAAACACCAACTCAATCAAGGAATTCAAATAATTTATGTGTTTTTAACTTTTTAAGTTTTCTCCATGAGTTCATTATCAGATTAGTCTAATTTAAGCATTGTTGAATCCTATGAAGGAGATTGGCTCTCCCGAAATTAATTTTTTCATTTTTAGGGTTTGAATATAAAATCTCTGATTAAGAGATACAAGTTCTTTACCACTTGTATCAATAATATTTCATTAATTGTGAATTTATCTGTATAAGTTATAGAACTTTTATTTATAATTTTAATTTTTGTTTCTTTTAATTTAGCTTCCTAATTAAATTTAGCTATAGAAAAAACACATTAACTGAATAAATTAAAAACATTAAAATTAAATGGTGTCTCTAAAGAATTGATTTTCAATATAAACAAAGTCATTAAATTAATATAACTTACCCTGAATACCTTATTTTTTTCACTTTTTTTTGCGTCAAATTAAATACAACCTGCCAATTCGGCTCTTAAGAAGCAAATTTATTATCTTTCATTCTTTCTTCTGCCTTCCTTTTTTTAAAAAAAAATAATAATAATTGAAAAACATATATCATCAACATTGTTGGTTGAATTTAAAATTCTAAACTCCGATTCTTGCCCGTTTCGGTCACTAAATTTATTTATTTTATATCAAATTTGATAAATAAATAAAAATATAAAAATTGGTTGATTTAAATAGTGTAATAAATTAAAGACCATAAAAAAAACATCAATTATGTGATTATTTTTATTTTTCAATTAATCATTATTCGGAGTCTCGGACTCAAAAAAAATTACTTATAATAATAATTATTAATGAGACAGATTATTCTTACAGATACAAGTTTATCCTATCCCATACTTAATTGTAACATATAGTAATTAATTTAGATCATAACAAACTAGGCAAGATTTTTTTTTTCTCCTTCTCCAATATCATTGGATCAAGTTTAGATCATACCACGTGGTGGTTAATCAAAGTACAAGTCGACCCATAAAATTTAGATGACACCACCAAATCCGTTTAAAATCTACGTAGCTATCAATGAAAATTCCAAAAAGTTGAATCAGAAGAAAAAGAAAAGAAAAGAAAACATTATAGCCACAAAATAAAAAACTGCATTTTCTCTTGTCTCAACTGTGAGAATCCATGGCGGTTTCAGGGTTGAGAAGTGGTGGTTTACCGTTGTTCCACTTCCCTCATCATCACCATCTTCGTTTCTCACAATCACCTCCTTCCTTTGCAAAGCTCAACGTTCTTCACTCCAAGTCAAAGGGTTTCACTCTCTTTGCTCGCTATGCTCAAGCTCAGGACATTTTCTCCTCTCGTCGGTTACAAGGTTCCTTCTTTCCCTCCATTTACTCACTCCCTATTCATTATAGCAGTTGGGGTTTGTCAATTTTAACAAATTAGGAAAAAAAAAAATTTGTTTTTTTTCTTCTGTTGAAATGGCTGTGAATTGTGCCCTTACCTCAGATAGCATTGAAAACTTGCCCAAGCTTGTGGAAGACATTGTGCAGACATCCATAAACACAGGTCCTAGGGGTGTCCTTAGGTTGGCTCAAGGTGTTCAAGCCTTCATTGGGGTTGGTCAAGAGTGGTTAACTGATGTGTCAAAGGTAACCTTACACACTATTGTTTATATCCTAGGCATAAACATTTTTTGGTATGGTATGGATTATGGAATGGATTTTAGACAAGTTATCACACCTTTTCAATCTCGTTATAAAATATAGTAGGATATTTCAGTGAATCATATACTGTGGGAAACATGTAAGTTGGCTGAAATTTTTTACTATATATAAGTGAAGGTTTGAGATATCTTACTGGTGTATACATTGCCAACTCTTTATTTTGTTTTAATCTGCATCTGCTCTTTCTTCCATTTGAATAGTAGTTAATAATCTTGTATTGATTTCTTAATAATTTTTTTTGGGTGTTTTTATTCAATCTTTTGGACAGAACTATTAACTCTCTTGCATCATTTGTAGTCAACAAATTCAGCTACTGGGTTGCCCACTGAAATGCAGCTTGGTTTACTCTCCCCCATTTATTTGAGGAGGTTGTTTGAACGCATGGGGGCAACCTATGTCAAATTAGGTCAGGTATGAGTGGATTCCTCTTTTTCCTCCTCGCCCCTCCCAGTTTGTGTTTCATAATGTTATCTCATAAGTAAAAAGTGATGATGCTTGCTTTGTTTCTGTATAAAATGACTCATTAATCAATATTCAATTATTTATAGTTGGAGAAGAATAATGCAGATTGCAGATTAAATTTTATAACCGCTTGATATGATCATTTCCTCAATACAAAAAGTCCTTTCCTAATTTGATAGTTGATCTTTTTATGCTATGGACCTTTATACTGATTGTTACATTTAGTTTCTGTTTGGTAGTTTATAGCATCAGCACCGACACTGTTTCCACCTGAGTATGTACAAGAATTCCAGAATTGTTTTGATAGAGTTCCTCCAGTTCCTTTTGAGGAAATTCAATCTATATTGCGTAAGGAACTAGGAAGACCAATAGAAAGTGTTTACGAATATGTGGACCCAACACCCATTGCTTCTGCCTCTATAGCACAGGTATATTTTGTACAACTGACTTTCTCTTTCAAGAACTTCTTTAGTCAGACTACTATGTGGTTGCTAATGCAATTGGTATATATTACATTCTAGGTTCATGGTGCAAGGCTAAAAGGCTCCCAGGAGGATGTGGTTATAAAGGTCTTAAAACCAGGAATAGAGGACATATTAGTGGCAGATCTTAATTTTGTTTACGTTGTTGCTCGGATATTGGAATTTTTGAATCCTGAAATCAGCCGGACATCACTGGTATAAGCAATATGGCAATTTTATCTATACATGGATATATTTGCTACAGTATGAAAATAATGCTTTTATTTTTATTTTTATTTAAGTATCTGTTTACTAACACTGAAGTACAATTCTTAATTATGTTGCCTATTTTTTATCACCCTTTGTTCTTGTCCCTTTCACTAAATTCATTGTTCTTTTTAGTTTCTTATATAGAAAAGGAAACTTAGAACTTCTTTATTCACATTCCTTTGTTATTATTGTTTTTGTCATTAAAAATGTTATTGGCCTGAAATTTCTTCTAATGTGTGCATCCTTTTAGTAGGTTGGTATTGTCAAAGACATACGGGAGTCTATGCTTGAAGAAGTTGACTTTTGTAAGGAGGCTGCGAATATTGAGGCTTTCAGGAGATATTTAGAAGCAATGGGACTCACAAGGGATGCAACAGCTCCAAAAGTGTATCCATACTGCAGCACACGGCAAGTTTTAACTATGCAAAGACTGTATGGAGTTCCCCTTACTGACCTAGACTCCATAAGTTCATTAGTTTCTAATCCAGAAGCCAGCCTCATAACTGCTCTCAATGTGTGGTATGACTCCAAAATTCTATTTGCAATTAATGTCCCTGTACCTTTTAAACATCAACTTGTTTATCTTGGTATAAATTTTGCTGCAGGTTTGGAAGTTTGCTTGCATGTGAATCTTTTCATGCCGATGTACATGCAGGAAATCTGTGGCTTCTACGTGATGGCCGTATTGGATTTCTTGACTTTGGTATGCTTTATCATCCTTGTGCATTGTTTACTGATAGTTTTACTTAAGCTAACTGAATTGAAGTGTTTTTACATTTTTCCATCAATCAGCATATTTTTAGCTATGCTTATTGTAGGGCATCATGTTGTTGTTGCTTTGTTTTGTTCTTTTATGAACTCAATATGTCTTTACTCTTCTAAAGAACTAAAGTTTTACAGTATTCTGTTGTATGCACATACATATTTGTATGAGATTTTGTGTGTAATAAGATTCAGTCCACATTCTATTGAAAAAAAAAAAAATTCAATTTACAGGAATTGTTGGTCGTATATCCCCCAAAACATGGGCTGCTATGGAAGTCTTCTTAGGATCAATTGGCATTGAAGATTATGACTCAATGGCATCTGCCTTAATTGAAATGGGTGCAACAAACCAGGATGTTAATGCTAAGGCCTTTGCCATGGATTTGGAAAAAGTATTCTCATCAATTAAGGCAAGCACTATAACTCATATATACTCACTTGTCAGTTATGTGTTTGACTACATTGGTGAACATGTGTGTGCTTTGCTAATTTGGAGAGCAAATTTTAGTTTTGTACTCTAGTGGTACCCAAACAACCAGGGAATGCGCATGTCTACGCTCACACGCTAGGTCTTTTAGTCGTGATCGTTCATGCAAGATCCAATGTTTAGTATTTTCTCTGCTCACTCACTATAGAATATATCAGTGCTCTTACTTGATGCATTCCCTATGCATTTGGGTCCTCTCTTGTGCGGTGTTTCACATAAAATTTGTCGATCCCTGTGAAGGGTCTTTGTGTGTGTGTCTCTCTCTCTCTCTGCACACATGGTCATGAGAAAATTCATGAGTATGTAGGTCTGTGTATCTCTCGCTGTGAATTTATTGGAGAATTGTTTGTAAACAATGTTAAATATTTAGTTAAGAAAAATTAAGATCTCATTTATTGGGTGGTTTATATTCATACGTCTTCTAAATACAGGGGTTAGGTTGGGTTAAAATAAAGTGGTTTTATTATCTTAGTCATTTAGTAGGCAAAAAATGTTATCTAGAAAAGGTATTTTTCCTGGTGTTGTGGTAAGTTATTCCATCATTGAGTGGTTGATTTTTCAAAATTATGCATATAACTTGGCCCAAATCCAGTTGAGTGTTATTGCTTATATTTCGCATTTGTACCCACTATGCAAGTGCAGGAGTTGGACACTGAAATAGTTGTAGCAACAGCTAGTGGAACAGCCACAAATGCAACTGCTGTCTCTGCTAATATAGTTGTTGATGAGAGGCAGATGAATGCACTCTTTCTTGATGTGGTAAGCTATTTTTATGTGAAATTACTAGACTTTTACAACAGCTTGTATGTCAATTTAAAAGGTCCAAAGTCTCATTGTTAACTACTGGTATTTTGAATTGATAGACATATGGAGTTTTGCTACTTACTAAGCAACATGATGATTTATGCTCCCTTACTGTTTTGACAAATTAATGCGATGCTTTAAAACTACTCAGTTTATTAATCTTAGAGTTTGTGTGTCACATCACTTAATACAGGATACAGTACTTGTGGAAATTCGAATTTACTAGCCAAGAGGCTCTTTCTCCAACAAGAAATATTATTGAAATATGATTTTGGATAAACATGAGAAATTATCAGATTAATGTAGGTTAACCAACATTGCAACATTTCGAAGTCACAGAAATGGAAATGAGAAGCTTCCTGTATCCATTTATACAGTGATCCTCCTTAACTGGGGAATTTCTTTTGCTGATGAAGGCTAATTATTAATATAATGCTTGTGTTTTCTATGTGCTCCTCAGGTTCGGGTTAGTGAATCGTATGGATTAAAGTTTCCTAGAGAATTTGCACTTCTCCTGAAGCAGCTCTTGTACTTTGACCGGTACACACGGTTGTTGGCTCCCAATATGAACATGCTTCGGGATCAGAGGATTTCCATTGCCTCCAATAGAAGAAGCAGGAGGTATAGAGACAGTTTTTAAAGAGACGTTACACAAAATATAGATGTACCAATTTCAGTTCAAAAGATTTTATCTGTGTTGTTACTATCGTATATAAATAAATAAAGTAATCCATTGTTGTTACTTTGATTTGATAAGGACATTCGATTGTAAGTTTTTGACAAGGGATTCAATATAAAACATCCCTTTTCCATTCCTGTTGTTACTTTAATGGTGGGGCCTCCCTTAGGCCTTAGAAGGATGAGATTGCGAAATTGAAATGCCAACAAAATGAGAAGAAAGTGTGAAACAAAATTCCTTCACGCTGTAAAACTAAAATGAAACTTGAGCAAATGCTTCATCTTTGCGAGAAAATTGATTGAGTGGGATTACGGTGACAAAGTCAGATGCTGGTCGTTATTAGAGGGTGACATGCAATAGTACAGACACTGTTATACACCCATTATTTATGAAAAATTAGCCATGACTTTAAGAAAATAAAAGTTTAAAATAAACACAACAATTACTTCTACATATACCAAAATCATATTTTTAGTTAACAACGATTATATGCATCTGTTGGCAAACTGGTATGCAGAAAATTGAATAGTGGAGCTAGTCTGTTTCTAATACACAATTGTAGAGCAATGAATCAATCTTATTGCCCTTGTTCAAGACACCCAATATTTATAAGAAAACTTCAACAAAAATACGTCGTTGTGCGGATGCTATATCGCTACACGCTACATCTCAAATTCGAATAAATAACTCCCCCGTTCTTGATCTTCCCAGCTTCACTTTAGATTCACCAAACATAGAATAAACAGAATTGTCATCTAAGCCAATGCATGAAATTTCAGCTCTGTTGAGAGTTATGACTCGGATCATTTTCTCCATTGAGTATGGGCTCTTTCCCTTCAACAGAGGACGGAGTCCCTCTTATCACTTGACTTGGCGAGGAATAACCCATCAGTTGATGAAGTGGTGAACTTTTTGGCGGTAACCTTGCATCCATTTCTGATGACATATTGGAGGAGTGCACAGGCACAGCTAATTCCTCTGTTGCCACTGGAGCCTTACTTGCACTAGGACCTCTTGAAGCAATCTTCTCCTTCTCTGTTATGGGCTCAAAGGTACCATGAGAGACACTTGGATTACCATATTCACTGGCATGCATTGAATTAGATGGTGTCACATAAACAGGATCTCCTTCTGAGGAGTAGCTTTTGCTGACAGAATGGTCATAATCATCAGAATATGAAATGGGGTCTGCATGTGAAGAATGGTAATAGTTGGCATGAGATCCTGAATTAAGATTGCTGCCATTAATCACCTCGTTTTGGTCATCAATGTCACTTGATGGGGTCCCTAAAGCATTTGGTGCAAAAGAAACTATATGACTTCCGTTCTGCAGAGAAAATTTGAGTACCTCTTGACATGAACCACATTTGAGCTGATGACATACCCTTTTAAAAAGGAGAAAATCTGCTGGAATTTGCAGCAGCTTTGAGCATTTATGACAAGTGACAAATGGTGCTCCCCCTGCTACTGGCCGGTAATGCCGTTTAGTCAAGCTCGTTTTCTCCCTAAAATATTTCTTTACCCCGGGAGCACTGTGCCTTTGATCACTGGATTTTGTTTCACGGCCATGTGTTAGGAGTTTAGAGGTCATGAACCATTGTGGACTTGAAGGATAAGAGTGCTGAGATGAGCAACAATTGCAACCCAGATGGGGTCTACAAAACTCTTCATGCTGGTAAAGAACATGTGGAGGCAACTCTGCTGAGCATTGCCACTCTTGTGGATAGCAATGGAAACAAGAATGATCAACATGGTATGTACTGCTTGTTGCCTCAGCTGAATAAGGTATCTGTGAATATTTATGCCTCTGGCGCCAGTTGATTCCATGACTACATCTTCCATCGCATCTAGGGTAATCCAGACCATGGTAAAATCTTCCTTCATGAAGATCATGGCTTTGGTATGCAGAAACATGCTTTCCCGTTGACAGTCTTCCATTTGTTTCCCCATTTACATAGCCAGTTCTGTTGAGCTGATCCTGCAATTTATAAACCATTCTCAACAGTTTCATCTTCTCCTGGTCAGGGTCCTCAAAGGAGTCAGGTGAAAGAAAGCTTGAGCTGCAGTAGAGCTCATCATGCGTTTGATTTGAAGGACTGCCACTTTCATAGCCGGATTGGTAACCACTTCGATGGAGAGGCTTTTGCGATGGAAACTCATCTTTCTTTGCTTTCATCCAACGTGCATAACCATGTCTTGCAGTCTCCGGCACTTCATTTTGATTCCCTCTGCTGTCTTTCAGGACATGCTGCTGTGTTTCATGATCTCCATATAACATGCTATGAACAAGGCCTTTTCCCCTTCCGGAAACTCCATCAGAAACACCATTAGCAACAGTGTAAGTGTTCTCAAAAGAATCTAAATTTTGACTAGGAAACCTCTCATCCACCCCACCATTAGAAGAGATACTGCCGTCATAAGCATGAGAGCTTCTAGTGGTTGGGGATTCAGACAATTCTCCCAGAGTACCACCAATCTCCGAATTGGGATTAATTACTTCTATGTTATCAAATGTATCCACAGATCTTACACTGTCAAAGCTACGGTGAAGAATTTTGGGAGAAGATACATGATTACCAGATGTACCTTCTTCAAGTTTGCTTCCCTTTCCACGTACAAAGTTTTCAGTACTTAACTTCCTGGCAGCAGATGCACTTGCAGGAATGTCCACTTCAGATTTTGCATCCACTTGAGCTGATTGGTCTTTGTTGGGATCTTCTCCATCTGATGCACACATATTCAACTCCTCTTCTTCTCCCTCTAATATTAAGTTTCCATTGTCTAATTCTTCTGATGCTGCTTTATTGCTTCCAGTAATGTCCATTTCAGGGTTTGCACCTTCTAGAACCGATTTGCCATTATTGAGATCTTGTCCATCCGATCCAGGTATTAACTCTTTTTCTGCTCCTTCTAGTAATAAGTTTCCATTATTTAACTCTTCTGGTATTTCTAAATCACTTCCGGTATTGTCCACTTCAGACTTTACCCCTTCTGGAGCTGATTTCTCATCATTGGCATCTTCTGTATTGAATGCACTAATTAACTGCTCCCCTGCTCCTTCTGACAGCATATTTCCATTACTTGGCTCTTCTCCTTCTAGCTGCAAGTTTGTATCATTTGCATTTTCTACTGAGTTCTCTGCCATCAATTCTGCTGAGGCCTCAATCTCAGAGTGAGTAAGCTCATTTGAACAACCTTGGTTGGACACTGTACGCTTTCTGATGTCTGATAATTTATAGATATCCATCTCGTTTTCCAGTTCTTCATCTGATAAATTAAACGGTCCAAGCTGCTCTTCATTGCATTCACCATTTTCAATTTGACTCCTTCCACCAATTCCATTCAATGAATATTCCACTGAGGAAGAACAAATTGCTTTTTCACTCAAATCATTCTCCTGGGAGATAACTAGCTGCTCTTCATTGCATTCACCATTTTCAATTTGACCTCTTCCTCCATTTCCATTCAAAGAAAATTCTCCTGAGGAAGAACTAGTTGCTTTTGCCCTCAAACCATTCTCCTTAGAAATAACTAGCTGCTCTCCATTGCATTCATCATTTTCAATTTGACTCCTTCCACCATTTCCATTCAAAGAACATTCTCCTGATGAAGAACTAGTTGCTTTTGCCCTCAAATCACTCTCCTGAGAAATAACTAGCGCCTGTCCATTGCATTCACTACTTTCAATTTGACCCCTTCCATCATTTCCATCTAAAGAACATTCTCCTGAGGAAGAACCAGCTGCTTTTTCCTTCAAACCGCTCTCCTTTGAAACATGATCCAATGCGTTTCTAGGAGCAGCATCAGTTTCACGTGTACTGGATTCTGAGTTCACAGCCTTATTTTTTCGTTTCTTAGCTGTATGGAAAGCAATGAAATGATTTCAGTTACAAATTAAGAATAAGAACTATAAGAGGTATATATATAGAATCAGTATCCTCATTTGTAAAGTAAGATTTCATAAAAATTAATCCATACACAAGAGGCAGGCAATAGATTGGAGCAGAATGCTTGCTTCGTTGAGTGAGTAATAATTTATTATAGTAAATCATTTATACCAATCAATCAAGAAGCATAAATCATATCAGAAAAATTAATTTGGTATGATTAAGTTCGCAAGAAAATTTAGACATTGAAGCTTATGGTCAACCCAAGTACATTATGTAAGAGCTCAACAAGTGCAACAGGCATAAACTTGATAGTTGAAAAATTTTCCTGCATCGTGTTTCCCAAGAGAAATAAAACTTGAAAAGTAAAATAATATACAATAATGAGATTTTTTTTTAACCTTGAAGAGTCGTGCCACATCCACCACACTTGTACACATCATAATCTGGAGACTCTGGAAGAAGTTGCCAGCATTTAGGACATCTTACTAATCGAGGTTTGGGAGCCGATTCAACAGACATCTTACTCCAAATTAGTAATAAAGTCACCGTTCAAAGACTTGATTTTGGCTACAAATTTTGCACAGAAGATCTCAAAGAAAAATACCAAATTTACTCAAAACATTCTGGCAGGGAAAAAAAGAAGAAGTTCTCCTACGCTTTCACTGCCTGCATCAGATAAGATTGAAGTTTAGCTAGGATTGTCGAAAAAAATTGCCTCGTTAATCATGGAAAAAGAGCATAACACTCAAGAAAGTAAAACTGCACAAAAAATCTGCTACATGCAGCAAATCAAATTTGGTAAGTTTTGACAAAGTGACTTTATGGATCTTGAATCAGCTAACTCTAGGACTCTAAGTTTAGTAGAAACCAGAGAACATTACTATCAGAAGATACACCAACTACTGAAATAAATGTTTTCCGGGATAGGAAATTCTCTTTAAAAGGAACATACACCAATTTTTTGAAACAAATCCATGATTCTCAGAATTTATCCACTACATGGTCTTCTATGGTAGTTCCATACTCTATGGACTATACTCAAAAAGCCATTAATAACTAGCAATTGATGAAATAATTTACCATTTTCTTATATTCTAATCTTTGTAAATCGGCACACGGTTATGATGTGAGATCAGTTTACTCTCTTGGTCTAAAAGCGACAAAAAGACAAAAATCAAAAACAAGAGACAGAGAGACGGAGAGAGAGGATTTGAACAGAGAAGTTAATTTTCAGACATAGAAATAGGGAATCATGAATTATAAGTTGTAGGCATTCAAATGTTTTAAACAATCCCACAAAATATGATGAGATCAGAGTTGAATCCGTGGCATGCATCAAAATTCAACTGAACAAAGAAGCCGAACCAACGATGAATTCGACATTCACACCCATCAGGCGAAAAAGCTTTAGAAAAAATGGTAATATTTCATAACATGCAAAACCCACAAAGGAAAAGAAAAACAAATTTTCATTTTTTTTTTCTAAAATTAAAAAAATAACTGATTTTTAGAAGAAAAAAAACAAGTGGAATGAAAAAGAAGAAGACATTGACTTGAAGAATCAAGGTACCACAGCTACAACAACCTGAGACAAAAATGGATCTTGTGTAAACAGCAACCTCAACTCCACCATCTCTCTCTTATGCGTGTTTTTAAGTATGTGTTGTTCTTCGTTTTCTGAAGCGAAAGCCAAAGTGAAAAATGAAAATGGAAAGAGACAAACAAGACTACCCGTAACAACGGGTTTCAAAGTCGGCGCTTCACGCATTTAAAGCGCAGACCAACCCCCAAACTGTCGACGTGGCATCTGTGGGTCCCGTCTTTTGACTTTTACTTAAACAGTTTGAGGATTAGGTTTTGTTGCGACGCGGGGAGTTAAAATAATCGTACACGGCAACCTTAAAGAAATTTATTTAAGAAAATTTAAGGATCATGGTTATATAAGTTAAAATGAAACGAATTATTTATTTAAAGGCTAGTAATAATAATAACTTTCACTGGCTATTTAAATTTTTATTTTTATTTTTTTTTTGAATATGAGTTGATTTTGAATGAGAAAATCTTTTTATACACATAAATTTTAAAATCAAATTCAAAATTATATGCTTAAAAATATCTAAAAAAAATTAGATATTAATAATGTTCAATAGGAAGATTATATTTACAACATATTTTTGTTTACAACATTTTACCATAATAATTTTAACCGTTGATTTTCGTCAATCAACGGTTATCATTTATTAATTAATAATTAATTAATAAATTTAATTTACAAAAATAATAACCGTTGATGAGCAGAAATCAACGGTTAAGATTATAGTTATAAAAGGTTATAAATAAAAATAGATTGTAAATATGACATTCCTCGTGTTCAATATCTTAATAAGTTTAATTAATCTGATTTCATGTTTGAATCTCTCAAATTCTTTTAAGAGTTGTTATATAAAATAAATTGTGTATTTGTTCCTTTACTCACTGTGACTTATTATAAAGAAATTAAAAATATAAATTGTTCTGTCGACTCATCGTGCCATAATTTTAAGGAAATAAATCTTTTTCTTCATTTTTAAGAATAAATACACTAATCGCTCTTTGAAAATTTTAATTATATTATTTTGGTTTTGAAAATTCTTTAGTTATATAAATTAATGCCAAAAATTAATAGTTTTAATACAAATTGTAAACAAATAAACAATCTGTGCAAGGAATAAATTTTAAAAATTAAAATAACATTAAATAGAATATTCCAAGACTAGATTTTATCATTTTATAGTCTTTTATGCGAAAATAAATTATGATAATAAAAGGGTATGATTGTTTGTCGTGTTTGGAGGTGAATGGAAGATTCTGAATTAGTATCAAAATCAGTGCACGCTGCATTGGGGACCTGATTTTGGAAACACAACCAGATCCACAATTAGTATTATTTATTTATTATTATTATTACTATTATTAAATATTTAAATGGGTGAAATATGAAATTTGACTATTTGAGGCAGAAACAAGGTCGAGAGATAAAGTCAAAGTACACTACAGAATAGAAGAGTGGAAGAAACATGAGGGCTGTGTGTGACTGACTGGGTCTATCTATGACCAGCTGTAATGTGACACCTGGCCTTCTCTTATCCACCTATTGTTTTCCAAATGCAAAATTTTCCAACTTCTCATATAAAATTCTTCTCTATCATGTGTATTTACAATTATATAATATGACTAATACGGAATCTTTTCTTTCTTTCATCACATCATACCATACTTGTAATATTTTATATTAGAATTAGAACAACACTTTTTTAATTTTATAAGCTTTTATCAAAATCGTGTAAAACTTTCTTTCATATTTTTTTAGGACTGAGTTTTTCGTACGAAACCAAAATGTTTAATGGATTCGTAATTAATTTAAGTATAATTTAAAAAATATAAATTAATAAAAGTAAAACGATATGTGTCATTCATGACATAAATATAACCTAAAAGATTGTTAATATTCTTTTGTAGCCTAAATTTAGACGAAGTTATGACAAAATAATTATAAAAAAGATAAAACGAAAACCAAATACACGGCAACATCTTGTCACGCTTTATCAGTCAAACATTATTATAGCATCTTTCTTTCAGCTTTCATCTTTTGCTTTTCTCTTTAACTTTGCCGATGATTATATATATTTATTATTTGCACAATAACAACTAATCTTACTATTCATATTTAAAAACTCTTTTTAATAAATATGTGGGAAATTGGAAAGTTATGTTACAGCAACATAATTTTTTTTCTGCATATATACAAAAAACAACGCCAGCTTTTTTTTTTCTTTTTAAAAAAAAAAAAATATAACAAACCCCACAAATATTGTGTCTACAGAAAATTGGGGTATTTTCTTGTAACATTGTAAATATAAGGGTTCGTTTTTTCTACAGTCAATGTAAATAACTTATCTATAATGAATCCAAAACGACGTCGTTTTGAGACAGAAATCAAGGTATTTTTATAATTATAATTTATTTCAGGGTTACAATAGTCTTTTTCATTAAAATTTTTAATTTTTCAATTCAAAACAACGTCGTTTTGAAAACGAATGTAGATAACTTATCTACATTCATTTTATTAAAGCCCAGATATAAACACCTATATATATATATATATATATATATATATATATATATATATCTCAAATCTTTTTACCCACTGCCGATGGCGGAAATTGACCCAAAATTTTAAAGGGGATGCAGTTTGAGTCAATTTGGGTCAATTTCCGCCATCGGCAGTGGGTAAAAAGATTTGAGATCATATATATATATATATATATATATATAATAGTAATGAATTTGTGGTATTAAAAAATTTGACGATTTTAATGAAATTTTTATTGGTGTGAATTTTGTGAGACTTTTTAGTGAGAAATATAAAATGATGTCTCTCTTACAATCTCACCCTAATCTCTAAGATTTTTTGAGATTTTTATATTGCAGTGTTTTCTTTTTCCATTAGCGGGTTGACCTACTCGAAATTGGGTTCGGCCGTGAGAGTTTCGTCAAAACTCAAAATAGCATATTTTTTAGCAATTTTATCACAAACAACCCAGAAACAACAAACCAACAAGATTTTAATATAATCTATCTCAAAACAAAAAAAAATTTAGAGCTTTTGAAAGTTTAAAAAATGATTTTTCAAACTATGGTCGCGATATGATTTTTATATTAAAAATAACATAAAATAAACCAATTTTCGTTTTACATCAATCAAACGATATAAATTTAAAGAAAGATTAAAATTTTCATAATTAAATCTTATACTTTGTAACAATACATTCATGAATGAAATTCCTTCACTACAAGAAACGATTTCAAACAATTTTTGTGTCAATAGATAACTAAAAACTTGTTTTTCAAAAGTCTCAAAGCAATTTAAGGTGTCAATGTATCGATTGAAAATAATTTGAGAAATTTTCTAAACTTTTATGTAATAAAACTTAGAAATTCAAATTCAAATTCAAAATTTATATCGTCACTATTATCAATATGGTCATTATCGTCACCTTATAATACTCAATGAAAACATGCATATAATATATGGTTAGAAAATCTCATCACGTAGAACAAAAACTCAAAGGTTTCCAAGATCAATTGCAAAAAAATCCAAACAAAATTTTATTATAAACTTTAGATTCTATATGCAAATTTAGAATTATTTTAATAAAAAAATTGGGTCTTATAATCATATATGCATAGCTCTGATACCAATGAAGAAGATAATTTTTAACCATTGGTCAAACCTAAGAGCAGAAAATGCTAATGCATGGAGGACTCGTATAACTTTAAATATGTGGAGAGTTTGTGCTTAATAATTTTGAATGTTTGTTGAAAATTATATTTTGTTTTACTGATTGAAAAAATTATACTAGGTTTTACTTCTGTTTTTACTAATATCATTGCATTTCTTTGTTATTTTTTTATTGACTCTTGTAATTTTAAATTTTTGTTAAAAATTCATATAATTTTTTAAAATCTTATAAATTCATATTGTCCTTTCAAATCTTATAAATTCTATTAAAATTCTATAAAATCCAATCTTATAAAATATTGGTTGTAAAAAAAGTCTTTTAAAAAAGTTTTTTAAAAAAGTCTTTAAAGTCCCACTAATTCTAAATAGTCTTTTAAAATTAAAGAAAAAAAAAAATTTTTTTTTTTAAATCTTAATCAAATACACCCCCTTAAATTGGTGGAGTCAATTTAATTATTTAGGGGATGAATTCTTTTATGTGATAATTAATATGATCATGTTACGCGGATATCATAACCATTCAGATATATTAGTGATAAGAAATGACAGAAAAAAAGAGAGAAAGAATTGGGAGTGACAACATCATGTCATCATCACTGTTAATTTACCCATGATTTAAGATCATCTCACCAACAGTATTCATATTAACTAACGCACGAGAATTCACTCCCAATTATTTAATTGGTGCTAACGAAACCTTCTCGTTTAATGCAAGGACAACAAGGAAATTTGTTTCTCTCTCCAGAAGATTTGTTTCCCTATTCATTGAAAATCAACAAAAGAAAGGAAATAAAGGGTTTTGTCAAAAGTTATTTAAGGAAACTTCTACTATCAAATTCATTTCATTAATGGTTTGAGTGATGGTCCTCACGAGAATGATTTGAGGGGAAAAGCAACTATTGTTTTTATTATCTACAAATGATTTGTTGCTTTCCTTTTTAAATGGGGGAATTCTGCTACGGTCAGTACAGTACGTCTTTCTTTCTTTTCTTTTTTTCCCGTCTTTTAATTGCGAATCAGTCAATAACTCTCTGTTCATACAAAAATTCGAATGCATCCATCTGTGGCTTCTAACTCAGTGCTGTTGGGATCCCTTACGTTTAAATGATAGAATATGCTCATGAAGAATTTTTTTTCATCCTCAAATTTTAAATATATCAAATTATTTTTTCAAAAATATGGGCAATGTTAAATTGTTTTTATTATCTCATTTTTATCATTAAATTAAGGGATATAGATTTCTTGTAGGAGAATAATTTTTTTTTTCCTGCAGACATAATATAAAGATATGAGTTTCACTTTTATTTTATTTATTTTTTCTTTTCAATGACCTCTATCTTTATATTGTATTTACAGGAGAAAAAACTCTTCTCGACAAGGAAAAATTCATAACCCTTAAATTAATCATTAAAATAACATCAAATTGATAATTGAAGGATGGAAGTTATATGACCAAATTGATGAATGAAAGACAAATGTGACATCATGTACATCTTTTAGTGACAGTATTTAAAAATCTGTCGGGTATCAACTGAGTTTCCATTTTTCTTTGTCGCTGAATTTATTTAATTTGGATCTAGAAGTAAAAGGGTTTAAAATATTTACCAATATCAAGCAGTAGAAGGAGTAACAACTAACAAAGTTTGACTTTCGTGGAGTTTGACAATGGACCAAGTATAAGTCATATGCTATATGATATTTGAGTGTCTTCCATTAATGTGGGTCTAAAGTCTAAACCACAAAGGCCAGGAAGAGACCCAAAGACCACACATTGCAGACAAGGGAAATGGGCTCAAGAAGATCACTAGAAAGCCTATGAATATGGAAGACCACACATATATAATGCCCCAATATGATATTCAGCTGAATATATACTGAATTAATTTGTACTTTCATATATTACTGCATTACCATTAACAATATATATAGAGAGAGGATTACATGATCTAATTATTCCTTTTGGCGAGTTAGGTCCTCATATATCTTCATCACCCGGAGAGGTGAACCTTATGATAACATTCTCATTAGAAACTCATCTTAGGTGGAAAGGGTTGAAATATTGAGTAACTAAACTTAGCATGTAATTCACAAGTATAATTAATTAGATTGCTTGACTATGTATTAAAAAAATAAAAAATTAGATTGCTTGACTTGACTATTTGACCGAGAGAAAGTCAAGGAAGATTAAACACATGCCTCCTCTCCGAAACCGAATATTATCTTATTCACAAGTGAAATTGACATAAGCAATAAAGTCTACTAGGAATTCTAAGTTTTAAACCAAATAAAAATTGGTAATGGGCTTGGTTTGTACATGATGATGACCTATAGTTACCATCAGCATTGCTTGGTATATTGTCAAATGACGTTTTGGAAGAGAGCACGGCACAACCACGTTATGGATTATCGAGACCATTTCAAAAAACAGAAAATGCACTAGCTCAAGCTTGTTTCATCCGGCAGTGTAAGGACTACTGATTTTGAAGAAGAAAAATCCTTTTAATGCGATTTTAAGAAGAAAAAAACCTTTATTATTAGGATAAGGATATACTTACCACTAAAAAAGTTTACAACTTTTACAACCAACCTAATCACTGATTATTCCCGTCAATCTAACGGTTATAATTTATTGAAAATTATTAGGTTGCATTTATTAATTAATTATTGATTTTTTAATAAATTATAACCGTTAGATTGACGGAAATCAACGGTGATTAAGTTGGTTGTAAAGGTTGTAAACTTTTTTGGTGGTAAATATATCATTTTCCTTATTATTATTATTATTTTTTATCTTGGGTATTATATTTGTTGTGGAGATTGTGTGCACAAAATAATTGTGAGGTTAATGAGTACGGCATATGTGAGGGTAGGGTATAATCTGCTCACTTGAAATCTCACTTTTCAATTACTTTTTTTTTTTGGGTACACTCACTTTCCAATTACTTTATTTACGCTGCCAGCTGCCCATAATCATTTATTTAAAAGAAAAACAATTATCAATGACTTTACTAGTAACCATTTTCCATCTGGATCTCCCTCACGAATAATGTGAACCAAAATTCATGGAGGCCTAAAAGGTTGACCACTATTCATGACCAATATATTAACATGCTTAATGGACCACTCTTCAAGCATATTTGTTAGAATGTTACGGAAGAACACAAAACCTTTTGTAATATTTTATTAATGGACCAAATGATAAACCACAATAAGAGTTGAGGAACATCATATTTTAGCTCAAAGTTTTAAGAAAATGAATTTATGATTATTGGAAGAAAGGAAGAAAAAAAAAAAAAAGAGAATCATCTTGCTATCACTTCTTGTTATGCAGTCTATTTATTGAGAAACCAAGCAAGCCACCAAGTAAAACTTTCCCCCGGTTCATCCTCTTTTTCCATGTCTTACAAACATTTGTTTCTTTTTGAAACTTTGTTATTCCTTGAATACTAGTAGTAAGTCACATGTCATATGACAGACAAGCAATGATATGAGTCATCTCATTGCATGAAAGAGATAAAAGGACAGCAACAAGTAAAATAATATAGAACATCCAAATAATTATTGTAAATTAAGCATATTTTACATGGTAGATATTTTGATTAGAAATTAAGAATGTCATTAAGAAGTGTTTATGATTATAATCTTTAGTGTGCTAAATTAAAGTGTAATCATTATACTGTTTATATCATGAATTATAATCTCTTTATTTATATTTGGAGTTCTATATACAGTTATATTTTCTTAGAAAAATTAAGAAAGAAATATTAATTAATATATGTAGAAATACATTTCTAAAGTCCATATTTCTTTTGTCTCAATCTCTTTATTTCCTCTTTTTATTTTATGTACATAATGAATTATTAAAGAAAAATAAAAGATATTGTCGGCCAGCAATATCCTAATAAATAAACATATGACTATTATAATAAAAATTAATGTGTCACACACCGGACCAATTCCACTATATATCAAATCCAGCTAATAATTAGGTATTAAAGAAAAACAAAACTCTTGCTGTCTTGTGGAAGGACAAATCTCCATTTCCAAAGCTAAATCTTCCTTGCACGAATGTCTAATAATTTTAAATGAACCTCACAGTTTTACTTTTAGTTATGTTTGCATCCTAAGGAATGCTGAAAAGTACTAGTGCAAGTTGGAGCCCTTTTGAACCACTTGATTATGAGTCCAAGCCTCCTCTGAATGCATCCTACGCCAGTGCTTATGCAAAATGTTATCTTCTATAGTTGTCTATGTTTTGTGACATTTTCAAAGTTCTTACGATGGAAGGAAATGACCCTGACCCAATAAAGATACCTCTATAAACTCTTGAAAAAATCAAATAACATGATTAACAATGAAAGTTAATTAAAAGGGAAACATCATGACCCATAAAGACTATTCCCATTATATATATGCTCACCAACAAAGTTGAAAGCAAAAGAACATAGGAAACATCATGTTAGTGAAGGCAGAGAAAGCCATGCCTCTGAGAGAGGAAGGTGCTGAACCAAGAGGAACAATTCCCTTGAAGCAGCACTTTGTGCTAGTACATGGTATTGGAGGAGGAAGTTGGTGCTGGTACAAAATCCGGTGCCTTATGGAGAATTCTGGCTACAAGGTCTCATGCATTGACCTCAAAAGTGCAGGAATTGATCAATCTGATGCTGATTCTGTTCTTTCTTTTGATGATTATAATCAACCCCTCATGGATTTCATGTCTGCTTTGCCTGAGAATGAACAGGTTTTGCTCCCCCTCTATTTAGATATTGCTCTTTCTCATTCTTATATGGGAATATGATCAACTAGAGTGGCTTAGTTCTTATCAGTGATGTGATTACTATAGGTTATATTGGTGGGCCACAGTGCAGGAGGCTTGAGTATTACTCAGGCATGTCACAAATTTGCCAAGAAGATTCATTTAGCAGTGTATGTGGCAGCAACTATGCTCAAGTTGGGATACTTAACAGATGAAGATCTAAAAGATGTGAGTCCTTTTCACCAAATCTGTTCTGTTCCAGTTTCAATGTCTCATTCTCTTTATTTAGTTTCTGAACCTTGAATTCAATGTGCCATGCATGTCTAGTGTCTCTCCTTTTAGTAATATTTGCAAACTGGGCGACTGAGTACTATGATAATTAACTAACTTAGTTGTCAAGTGTACATGAACCTAAACTTGGGATGAGAGTGTGTGATCATAGTGATGCTTGCTGGTTTCCATTGTTGTACAATGTTTGGACTCTTCAAGGTTCCAGTATAAGGTTGATGTAGATGCTCTGTTGAAATAATTGATTGCCAACTGTCTTCACAAATTTGAGGCGCACGCACCTACTCTCATATTTTTCTAACAATAGTTCCATATAAAAACAAACTAGCAGCTGTTCAGCAATAAGGGAATGTGTGTTACAACTTACAAAAGGGAAAAATAATGATAATAAAATGATTTTTTTTTCTTTGTTGCATTTTATCTCCCTTTCTTCTTTCCCTTGTTTATGAGACTATTATAAGTTTATTATTAGCTAAACTTTTCTTAATTGTAAGATTTTTTTTATATTTTTCTTATTGTACAATAAAAGTATTAGATAAGGTTGCTCCTTGTGACAAAAAAATTACGGATTTGAGTATTGAAAATAGTTTATTTGAAAAATGCAAGGGTAAAATTGTGTATAACCCACTCCCATCTCTAATCTCATAAGTTGGGAAACTTAGTGCATCATAATTTACCCTTTACCCTTTAAGATAAAGGTATCTTTGAGCTAATTTTTATATAAATTATTTCCATATGTTTTAAGTTAGAAGGAAGCTCCCCTCCTTTTTTAGGGTTTGATAACAAACTATTTGTAATTTTATAATGAGTGAGGATATTCTAATTACCAAAAATTCTCACTATTAACTTACTACCCATCATATCATTGGATCAAAGAGAGAATGCTAAAAAAAATTTGAAGAGAGAGAAAATATTAATCTAATAGTGATTAGATAGATAGTAAGTTGGTAGTGAAAAATTTTAGTAGTTAGAATATTCAATGAAGTACATTTTATTGATGTGTGACAATACAACTTATAAAGCAAAATAATAAAAAGAAACTGCTCACTACTACATAACTTCTCATCAAAGTAGAAAAGAAAACTGCTCACTATATAACTACCCATTAAAGCAAAAAAGTAAACTGCCCATCTACATAACAACTCATTAAAACATAATGAAAACTGACTCCTAAATAATTAAAAATATCAAATTGCAGTTTCTAAAGCATGATCTCTAACACTCCTCCTTGCTTTTGGAGCTGCAAACACCAATCTTCTCCCTTAGATCTTCAAATTTGCTTGTAGGTAATGGTTTTGTGAATATGTCTGCCCATTGGTCTTCTGACTTGCAGTAGACAAGTACGATTTCACCTTCTTTCTGAACTTCCCTTAAGAAGAAAAACTTGATCTTAAAATGTTTGGTTTTCCCATGAAAAACTGGATTGTTAGAAATGGCAATTGCTGCTTGGTTATCAATATGAACTTCAGTATTGTTCCATTGCTTCAGGTGTAAATCACATAAAAATTTTCTTAACCAAATTGCTTGATTAGCTGTTGCCGTAGCAGCTATGAATTCCGCTTCTGCTGTGGACTGTGCTACAACATCCTGCTTTTTAGAGCACCATGAGAAAATTCCTGAGCCAAGACTAAAACAATAACCAGAGGTACTTTTCATATCATCCACAGAACCTCCCCAATCACTGTCAGAAAATCCCAAGAGCTTAAAGTCTTGACTTTTCTTAAATTTCACACCAAAATCAATCGTTCCTTTGATGTATCTCACTACTCTTTTTGCTGCTCTTAAATGCATCTCAGTAGCACAATGCATAAAACGAGATAAAAGACTTACAGAAAATAAAATGTCTGGTCTTGATACTGTGAGGTACATTAGACAACCAATCAGACTTCGAAAGTAGCCTTCTTCAACTCTGTCAGCTCCATCATTCTTGCTCAAGCTCTCCTTTTGATTCATTGGAGTGGTCATTGCCTTGCAATCCTCCAAATGAAATTTCTTGAGAATTTCCTTGGCATACTTCTTTTGACATATGAAAACTTCATCTTCTGACTGCTTAATCTCCATTCCCAAAAAGTATGTCATGAGTCCAAGGTCTGTCATTTCAAAAATCTGCATCATTTCTCTTTTGAACTTTTCAACAAGCTTGTCATTGCCACCTGTGATTAAGAGATCATCAACATAAAGAGAGACTATAAGTAGATCATCATCTTCGTGCTTTATATACAGAGTAGCTTCTGAAGTGCTTTTCTTGAATCCTAAGCTTGATAGATGCTCATCTATCTTGCTGTACCATGCTCTAGGTGCTTGTTTCAAGCCATATAGAGCTTTCTTGAGCAGGTAGACCTTCTCGTCCTCACCTTCTTTCACAAATCCTTCGGGCTGTTCAACATAAATCTCCTCCTGCAAAATACCATTCAAGAATGCAGATTTTACATCTAGTTGAAATACTTTCCAGCCTTTTTGAGCAGCAACAGCTAGCGAGAGTCGAATAGTGTCCATTCTAGCCACAGGTGCAAAGGTTTCAGAATAATCAACACCAAAAATTTGTGCATATCCTTTGACTACAAGTCTAGCCTTGTACTTGTTGATGGAGCCATCTGCATTTAACTTGGTTCTAAACACCCATTTTACTCCAATAACTGCTCTATCCTTTGGTTTGTCAACAAGCTCCCAAGTATTATTTTTTTTTATCATTAACAACTCTTCTTCCATTGCCTTCTTCCAATTCTGGTCTTGAATAGCTTCTTTATATCCTGCAGGTTCACAAATGGCTACATTGCATCTTTGATAAATATTGGACAACAACCTTGTTCCACGAATTGGTGGGTCATCTTCTAACTCTTCTTGCCACTGTTCCACTCCTTGCTCTTTGCTTATTTGGATGAGAGGACTTGATTTCTGCTTACTCATGGATGCCTCTTGTGCTTGTGTCCAGTTCCACTTCTCTTCTTCATGAAAATAAACATCCCTACTAATAAGTATCTTTCCAGTTTGAGGTTGATACACTTTGTAGGCTTTGGAGGAAGAGCTATAGCCAACAAAGATTCCTGGTTCTGACTTTTGGTCAAGCTTATCACGCTTTACCTGTGGAATATGAGAGAAACACATACAACCGAACACTCTAAGAAAATTGAGTGAGGGTTTATAGCCATACCATGCCTCAAATGGAGTTTTGTCCTCCAATGCCTTTGTAGGCAGCCTATTTTGCAAGAAGACAGCAGTGCTTGCTGCTTCAGCCCAGAAATTCTTTGGCAACTCTTTTTCGTGAAGCATACATCGAGTCATTTCCATTATGTACCTGTTTCTTCGCTCACTTACTCCATTTTGTTGCGGAGTGTATGGAGCAGTGAGTTGGTGTTCAATGCCAGATTCTTCACAAAAAATATTAAATTGTTCTGAAGTATACTCCTTTCCATTGTCAGTCCTAATGCATTGAATGCTACAACCACTCTGGTTCTCCACCGTTTTCTTGAACTTCCAAAACAGGCTAGCCACTTCTGATTTATGCTTCATGAAAAAAATCCAACACATTCTGCTAAAATCATCTATGAAAATAACATAGTAACGACTATCTGCAAGTGATTGAGTTCTTTGAGGACCAGCAACATCTGAGTGGATCAACTGCAGCTTATTGGAGGCTCTCCAACTTGACTTGGGAAATGGATTTCTTTTTTGTTTGCCAAATTGACAGGCATTACAATATGGTAAATGATCTGCAAAGGTTGGTAAATCATTTGACAACTCCTTCTTCTTCATCAACAACATATTTGAGAGGTGACAATGGCCTAGTCTCTTGTGCCAAGTCTCAGTCACATTCTCATCTGTGGAAACAGCAGCTTGCTCCTCCTTGACTGGTTCAAATGAGAAACTCTTGCCTCTCATTTTTGCTTTGATGATTTCCTTTCCATTTGCATCTTGAATGAGACAAACTCTATCTTCGAAAAACACTTTGAATCCTTTTTCAATGAGCTGTCCAACACTTAACAAATTTTGATCAATATCAGGTACAAAAAGAACATCTGAGATTGACTTTGTACCTGAATTTGTTAGGATAGAAACAGTTCCTATTCCCTTTACCAAAATGTGGTCACCATTACCGATTCTGACTTTTGTGATTGGTGTGGGTTTTAACTCCTTGAAAAGACTTCGATCATGAGTCATGTGGTTTGTACACCCACTGTCAATCAGCCAGCTCTCACTAGATTCATTGCTGGAGAAACAAGTGGCTACGAACAGTTGATCCTCCTCTTCTTCGTCAACAACTTGAGCATCTGCCTCCTGCATTTGATTCTTATTTCTGCATACCACTGCCTCATGCCCAAATTGGCTGCATTTGGAGCATTTTGCATCTGGCCTCCTCCAACATTTGAAAGGAGGGTGACCTTTCTTCCCACAATGGTGACAAGGAGGATATTTCCCCTTGGAATTTCCATTCCTGCTACTTGAAGAAAAAGAACCAGAATTACCTTCTTGCACTTTCTTATTTTTACCAGCTTCATGATATTTTGCAGGTAGAGCTCCTTCAATGACACCTTCTTGCCTCATGGCTCTTCTTTGCTCTTGTGCTTGCAAAGCATTCAACAATTCAGCAAGAGTGATGCTTGACATATCCTTAGTATTCTCTAAGGATGTAATTGTGGCCTCAAATTTTTCAGGAACGGTTACAAGGATCTTTTCAACAATTCTTGACTCTAGAAAAGAAGAGCCCAGCAATCTGATCCGGCTTGCTATACTAAGAAGCCTCTCAGAATACTCCTTAATAGATTCATCATTCTTCATCTTCTGCATCTCGAAGTCGCGAACTAGATTCAGCACCTGCATTCCTCGAATGCGTTCATCTCCCTTGTATTCAGTCTTGAGATAATCCCATATCTCCTTTGCTGACTTCAAAGTCATGATACGAGTGAAAATAGTGGGTGAAACTGCAGCGAACAAACAGGCTTTTGCTTTTGACTTCTTAGTTTTCTTCTCCTTCTGCACTTTTATTTGTGCCATGGTGGGATTAGCTGGAAGAGGCAGAATTTCATAGTCCTCTTCCACTGCTTCCCAAAGATCCAACGCCTCCAAGTACGTCTCCATGCGTACCTCCCAAATTGGGTAGTTTTCTCCATCAAATACTGGCGGAGCAATTGACGTAAGATTCGCTTCAGTTTCCATGGCGCCTCAAATTGACACACAGATCCCTTTAGGAAGATAGCTCTGATACCAGTTGTTGGTTTTAGAAATGAAGTACATTTTATTGATGTGTGACAATACAACTTATAAAGCAAAATAATAAAAAGAAACTGCTCACTACTACATAACTTCTCATCAAAGTAGAAAAGAAAACTGCTCACTATATAACTACCCATTAAAGCAAAAGTAAACTGCCCATCTACATAACAACTCATTAAAACATAATGAAAACTGACTCCTAAATAATTAAAAATATCAAATTGCAGTTTCTAAAGCATGATCTCTAACAGATTTATATTATAGAGATGGATTTCTTTTTTGGGGTGAAATATAGAGAGAGATTTTGATTAAGAAAAATGAATAGGAATCTAACGCTAACACAATATTCTAAGAGCCTATAACGTGTACGAACAAAGCTAATATACATAATCATAGAGAGCTTCGATCAATCTAATAAAGTTTCTGTTTCCCCTTCGAATTGTATATATCATCATCAATAATTTTGTGCCATCTAAACCCCCACCAATACAGCAATCCGTGTATTAATCATTATAAACATCTTTGGTTGTCATGTTTTATTGTTTGGAGACAAGAAATCATCAAATCTCTTGCTTTCTTGCTTTTCCAAACAAGAGTGGGTGTTATATGACTTATCCAAAGCCTGTACCACAGGTCTATTTTGTCCTCTATAGAGGTGGGTATAATAGCAAATTTTCAGTGTGCTCAATATACCTCCAATGATTGATAAGAAACAAACAATTAGTGAACCTAATTGCTAGCTTTGCATGATAGAGTAGAGTAGCTAACTTTTTGTGCCTCTTGTAAATAATAGCTATAATGATGCTTAGAAAGTGTTTTTGATTTGTGTCAAGCAGGGTGTACCTGACCTATCTGAGTATGGGGATGTCTACCAGCTAGGATTTGGATTGGGACAGGATAAGCCTCCAACTAGTGCATTGGTTAAGAAAGAATTTCAACGCAAAATCATCTACCCTTTAAGCCCTCACGAGGTATATTTAAGGGGAAAAAATAAAAAAACATGCATGTGCTTTCTCTATAAAAACTGTTCACCCCATGTTCAATTTCTCAGGCCTTTTCTCTCCAGGGTACCCCACATGCCATATACTTGTGATTTATTATCAATTTCACTGCCACCTTCTGCTTTTGCCACTTGTAGGACCATTAATTGAAATTTTCTTGGAAAATGGTGAAAACCAAGAAAATTTATTCACATGAAAACATCCTAAGATCAGAACATTATAGCCGGTGATAGTAATTTACCACATGGGATACTGTTGTTGTTGGAAATCGACAATCACACAAATCGTAAATGAAAAGAGAGAGAATAGATACAGAGATTTATCTTAATTCACTCAATTTAGGTTACGTCCAGCTTGTTTGTACTATATTCATCTCACCGCCACTCGTAAATCACTCGGTTTACAAGAAAAATATAAATAGAATTAGAAAACCATAACAGCAGCTATTCATGGGCCCAAACCCAAACTACTAAGAAAATTACAATAAATCAGAGGCCCACAACAATACCTAGTCTCTACGGGCCTCAGGGCATTGTCCCCGGACACCGCTGGGCGGCTCCTCCGGACCTCCGTCTGCTCACCTCATGGGCCCAAGCTCAAACTACTAAGAAAATTACAATAAATCAGAGGCCCACAACAATACCTAGTCTCTACGGGCCTGGGGCACTGTCCCCGGACACCGCTGGGCGGCTCCCCTGGACCCCCGCCCGATCACCTAGGAGCGAGACTCTCAGTTGCCTTTCTACTAACCCTGACAATTAGAGCTTTTATCAGCATGCGAAGTATGAGCCATACTCAACAAGTGTGAATGTGAGAGACCATATAATTGAGTTATAATATTTGAATAGTAATGTCACACTAATTACACAATCATTTTGGTTCAGGACTCTACCTTAGCTGCTATGTTGTTGAGGCCTGGGCCAATTCTAGCATTGACAAGTGCAAAATTCAGAGAGGATGGTGAAGTGGAGAAGGTGCCGCGAGTGTATATAAGGACTAGGCATGACAAGGTGATGAAGCCTGAGCAACAGGAAGCCATGATAAAGAAGTGGCCACCATTGACTGTGTATGAAATAGACAGTGATCATAGCCCCTTCTTCTCAACCCCTTTCCTCCTCTTTGGTTTCATTGTAAAAGCTGCAGCTTTTGACATTGGATGTTACTAAGTTCAGAGACCACCCTGCTAGCTTTTTTCTACTTTGCTTTTCTTCAAACCAAGAAATTATAATAATGAATATTTGAAGAACATTGATTGTAGTCCCATTAATTATGATGAATAATATATATATATATATATATATATATATATATATATATATGATATAATAATAAGGGAAAAGATATTGTAACAACCAAGTTGTATTACTATTATGTTACTACCAATCAATTACACCGTTAGATCGATTATGTTGATCTAACGGTTATATTTATTTTCATCTTTGTATGGTCATTATTTTCCAAATTTAATACTTTATATTTATTTCCACCTTTGTATGGTTATGATTTCCCTTTAAATATGGAAAATCATGACTATACAAAGATGAAAATAAATATAACCGTTTGATCAACATAATCAATCTAACGGTGAGATTGATTGGTAGTAACATGGTATTAATACAACTTGGTTGTTAAAATATCCTTCCTCTAATAATAATCCTATGCTGTTTCCTAATAATGTGTTTTTTAAGACTGGGATGTAGAAAATAATAACAATTTGAATATAATAAAATTTTAAGTGCAATTTTCAATTTTATTCCTTTAATTTATACATTTTTATGTCTATTCTCATGAAAGGATGTATTAAAATGGTAATTGATAACATTATTGGTCTGTTTGTTTGTGTTCTTTTTAAGAAAAAATATTTTCAACTAAAAATATAATTAATTTTAAAAAAAGAAATAAATATTAAAGAAAATCTATTTTGAGTTTTTTTTTTTCATAATCATCATAAAAATTAGCAAACAGAGTGAGAAGAGACCAATAGAGAGACTGAATTTTCCTAAACGAAGTCCTAGTCAATAGGAGATTACATAGAATTTGCATTAAACTATGAGAATGCAGATATTAAAACTTTTTCCAATTTGGAGGTTTCCCTTCCTTTTGAATTTATATTAAATGACCATTAATTCTTATTTGAAACACAAGAACAGAATAATTCTTAAGAAAAGAATATCGTTGGAATTACTGTCGTATTGAGTACGACTCTTGTTTTAAATAAAATTACAAATTATGTATTCTCAAAAATATATAAGCATAATATTAAAAAAAAAAATTCTCTCACTTCAAAAACATGTCAGCAATGTGTTATACTTTTATTAGTAAAATGTAAATATTAAGTAGTATGTTAGAATTTCTTAAAAGGGTCTATGTGAGATCCGTTGAAGTAACTTTTGAAAAGACAATTTAGCCATCAGCCCGAGTCCAATTTTTTGGGAAAATACAAAGGGAGCGTTTGGTTGAGGAGAATTTTTTTGAATACTAGGAAAATGTAATTGATAGGGAAATGGTAGGAAAATGAGTTTGGTAGGAAACTGTAAAAAAAGTTGTTTGGTTGGAACAAATTTTACCAGGCAAATTGATTAAAATTTTTGATATGTATATTTGGTTGAAGATAAAATATTAATGGGTAAATGATATAAATTTACAAATATACCCCACTAAAGGACATGGCTCGTAGCTTGTCGCATTCACCTTCTTACGGAAGAAGACACTCCATCCCCTCTTTCTCACCGCCACTCTCAAACCAAAAAAGACCACCAACAAAACAAAAGGTAAATGAAAGAAGAATAACAAGAATAAGTATCATCGTAAATTTACCCAGAACAATGTTCTCTCCCTCTACACTTTTCTTGTTTTTTCTCTCGTTTTCTTTGACTTGTGAATCTTTCTTTTTCATCAATGACAATTTATTTATGTTCTCCGATATTTGCATTTGGTAGCAGACATCAACAGGAGGAGGAAGATTTGAAACAATTGGAAGAAGAGGTTGCAAGAAGAATCAAAGAAGCAATTCGAAAAAATGTTGAGGAGAGGCTTAATTCAGAAGAACTCAAGAAAGAAATTGAAAGGCGCATAGCAGAGGATATTTTGGTCTCTCTCACTTTTCACCTTTTGCCATTTACCCATCTAACCAAGAAAACCACATGGAAGAAAGCTTTTTGAACAGTGAGAATTGCTCCACTTCCACGGCTAAATCTAAATAGCTATGCAACATGAATAGTTGGAAAAATTTTAAAAAACTCTCTACCAAACAAGAAAATCAACAATTGCCAACTTGATTTGGATGGAAAAATTTTCAGAAACTTTCAACCAACAGCACCAAAGGAAAATTACTGAATTTTTGTGCTCCTGCAACACACATACTTTTCTCCATCAGCCCCATGTTCCGAAGTTTTGATGGAACAAAGTCGCTTGCTATTATTCCTAATAAGGTTTAATTTTCTTTAAATAAATTGTCAAATTTAAGGTTTGTGAATATAAAATACAGGTACTTTGAAAGCTCTATTTTCCTAATAAGTTTATCCAGCTCAAGTTAGACTAATTGAATGGTAATTTTTAAAAAATTGAATATATATGAGTTATATTTATCTTATGTAGTAGGAAAATAGTTGTCTCATGTTATATAAATAGAATTACAAATGAGATCCACACGTAAGAGGAGAGAAAAAAATAGATGTGAGACTCACCTCCATTTTGTGTGTATAGGAAACTTGTTTATCTTATACAACATAAAATAAATATAACCCTATATATATATATTTAATATTTCTCATGTTGTAGGAAATAATTTTGAAAAAAATGTGTCATTTTAAATGACACAAGTTGTGTCATTTCATAGACACAAAGAGGTGTGAGTTCTACTAAAAAAATAAGTACAAAAATAAAAATAAAGGTGTGGTCTCACCTCTTTATATCTATAAAATGACACTCACATTTTTTAATAATTTTATCTTTTACATATACATAAAAACATATAAGGCCCATTTTTTTTTTCTCCCTTCTTTTCATCCCACATGAGACTTACGTATTTTTATGTATGCGTAAGAGAGAATTATCTCAACACTAGTCCCTCTCTATATAATATAGATTATGGGTGTCTTCGGCTTAATTTGGAGTCCAATCCACCATCTCACTTAACAAAGGAGGAGGTTAATTAATTTAGGGAAGCATATGATTTAATTTGAGAAAAAAAAAAACGAGATCCATTTTTTTTAAAAAAAAAAGAAAAGAAAAAATAGCAAAGAAACCGTGGTATTTTTCAATATTCAGTCACACTTTCTCATCAATCTCAAAATAAACCTTCAACCAAGCACTACATAAGAATAATGTCGAAATTAATTTGCGTACGCAAAGAAAAAGAAAGATGATGGCATAATGAACAATTGTGTATAAGTACATCCACGCTGTAATGTAGTCTGTTGCTTTGCTTGAGGTCCATTGAAGCTGATCCCAAACGCAAAGCCACACAAGTTTGAATTTTATTCCTTCTTTATTTATATTAAATTTAATAATAATAATAATAATAAAATTAAATACTAATCATTCACAGAGAGAAGTTTTCTCTTCTTTCCATTTAAAAAGCCCACATAAATGTATATTATACTGAACGACAAAACGCCACGTGTCCCACGTCGTAGTTAATCATTGTCCACGTTTCTTCGCGAAGTCAACTTAGTATTTCCAGTCCTGTACGACACGGAAGCGGCGAAAAAAACAAAAAAACAAAACCCGCCGCCAAAACCAAATTATGATTTAAAAAACAAAATATTATTATTATTATTATTATTATACAGAGAGGTGAAAAACCATCCTTATATTTTCTTTTCTTAACGGCTCTGCTTTGTATTCTCCTCAATGTGAGTGAACCATAGCTTGTTCTATGCTAACATTTTGCTCTTTTTTATTTTAATAAAACAATTTCCCTTTTTGGGTTTATGGCCTTTTGTATGATGATCATGTGTACTTCAAGAATGTCAAGCATTTGCAATTATGAATTTTATTCTAATTTTTTTCTTCTCAAATTTCTTAATTTGGGATTTAGTTGTGTGATTGAAGAATATAGTTAGATGCTATCTTATCTCATCATTTGAACTTCTTTGAACTGTTGTTCTCTATCCTTGCTTGTGGTGACTTGTTTAATCTCATGAACTGAGCAACACAGTAAATTCTTTTGTGATGCTAACCTTGTTTGAGCCTAATTTGAACATTCATTCCCTTTATGTAATTTATTCTCTTCTTTAGCTGCTTTTTTTTTTTTTTTCTCCACTTTGTGATTAAATGTTAGTTGCTCTTTGTGGTGCAGTTGTCTTTAATCCCCTCTTTTCTGCACTTTCTGTTTAATGCAAACTGGAAATAACTGTTGTATTGTCCTGAATTACAGAACTGATAACCTGATCTTCATGAATTTAAGGAGTTTTGTTGCATCCACTGTTTCCTGTAAACCGGGAAGCAATTACAATTTCTTTTTCTGGATTTTGGTTTGCTTGTTACTAAGTTTTCTGGGAGCTCCTGAAGTATATGCTCACTTCAAACTAATAAGGCCCATTGTTGGGTTTCCATCTTCCTCCATTTATGGTCTTCAATCTTTTGGCTAGAGACTCTTATGCTACTGAAGATTCTTAATCATTTTTCTGATTTTTATCAAAGAACCATGGTTTCCTCTCAATTCTCTACCTTAAATGGAGATAGTTCACAGAAGCCTTTCCTGAACCAGTTGCTTCTTCCAAATGGACCACCTGATCTTTTGCCTTCTGATTTTGTGGATTTTGAGTTTTCTGATGTGTTTGGTCTATCTCCTGTTGAAGCCTCAATGGCAGTGAGTTCCCAGAAACTTGGAAATTTGGTTGTTTCACCAGGTTCAAGTGAAATGATTTATAATGACCCTGCTATCATTCACATCCGCTCCCATTCGTTACTGGCCCCCTCAACCTCTATTAGTCAGTCCTTGGAGCTTAGCAAGCTTACCTTATATGAGACGGGTGATGCATTAGATATTGTGAAGGAGGTCTTTAGAGAAACACAGAAAGAACTTAAGGAACATTCTGTTAACAATGCTTCTGAAGAGCAAAGTAGTTTACAATTCAATAATTATGGTCTGAATTATCAGACTATTGGAGTTGAGGATTTTGAAGTTTTGAAGGTTGTTGGGCAAGGTGCTTTTGGTAAGGTGTACCAGGTGAAGAGGGCAGGTACTTCAGAAATATATGCAATGAAGGTCATGTGCAAGGATAAGATTATGCAGGGAAGTCATGCTGAATATGTAAAATCCGAAAGGGATATATTGACAAAGGTTGATCACCCATTTGTTGTACGGCTCAGATACTCATTCCAAGTAATAGTTTTTCCTGAATGAAGTTAATTGTGTTCTCATATGTTTCAGATTATCTATCAGTGCACATATGTTAGTATTATGCAGATATGTATAGGTTAAGGAAAAATTGACAGGACTATCATATTTGCATAATTACAACCTCTGTTAGACTTGCAGACCCAATGTAGGCTGTACCTTGTGCTTGATTTTGTTAATGGTGGTCACCTTTTTTTTCATCTATATCACCAAGGCCTATTCAGGTATTATAAGCTGCATTTTGTGACTATATTATGAAATGCTGATATATAGCTGTCTTACACTTGCAACTTCTGTCAGGGAAGATTTGGCACGCTTCTATGCTGCAGAGATTATTTGTGCTGTTTCTTATCTTCATGCAAATGGGATAATGCACAGGGATCTTAAACCTGAAAATATTCTTCTCGACTCAGATGGTCATGTAAGATAACATGAACTGAACCTATATCTGTGTGTCTTTTTGTCTGCATTAGGCATTCTACATGCCTATGTATTAGTTCTAAAGGGATTTGTGATTGTATCTAATGTCTATGTTGCTGTTAAATGGAATTATTCCTATGCTTGATACCAGGTAGTGTTAACAGATTTTGGTCTGGCTAAGAAATTCAATGAGACTGCAAGGTCAAACTCTATGTGTGGAACTTTAGAGTACATGGCCCCAGAAATTGTTATGGGGAAAGGTCATGATAAGGCAGCCGATTGGTGGAGTGTGGGAATTTTACTATTCGAAATGCTTGTGGGGAAGGTTAGTATCTTGGTCTTTTTTCATCTTCTTTTAGTATGAAGTAGAAGTCCCACAAATTTTTTTCTTTCCAATTCAGCATATGCCACTCTCATGCGAGTACTACTAAAGATGGAGTTTGGATTTCTTTGAACTTGATGAATTGACATGATTATCTTTAGGGTTAAGTTACTCTCATGCAGCATAAGATAGAAAAATTTTCCTACTGACCCTTCGATATCCGTGCTTGCTTTTTCCTTTTTTCTTTTTTCTTTTAAATCAATGGGGTCCACATATATTGAGTCTATGACATAAGATACCTATCACCTACAACATAAGAATAATAATTCCCTTATCTTTAAGGCAATTGACCGTTTTCTAGTTTTGTGAAAATAAAGTTATCTTGACCATCCATTATGATTTGGTGTGAGTCCATGACATGCAGTTCCTTGAGACTCTTGAGCCACCTGGTTGCATTTAATCATGTGTTGCCGATGCCTTAGTTTCTTGGTCTTTATATCTTATTGTTTACTCTAATTGCAGCTTCCTTTTACTGGTGGAAATAGACAAAAGATCCAGCAGAAGATAATTAAAGACAAAATGAAACTCCCAGCTTTTTTGTCAAGTGAGGCACATTCACTGTTAAAAGGGGTACAACTTTTCACCAACATCTAACGCACAAGTTTTTCTTTTTCTTTTTCTTACTAATATTATGAGATGAACCCTTAGGATTATGAAATGGTTCTGAAAAATTCTCAACTAGTGGGAAAAGGCTTTTTCTTTCTTTCTTTCTTTTTTGTGTTGTATGGTTCTGAAAATTGCACTACTTATATATAGAACAATTGGTTCAATAAGGAAATATTTCAGTACCATATACTACTAGTATATGGTACTGAAATATTTCCTTATTGAACCAATTGTTCTATGTATTGGGCTACAATAGTGTAATGAAGTTTTCCTGTTCACTTCAGCTATTGCAGAAAGATGCCAGCAAACGCCTTGGGAGTGGACCAAGTGGCAGTGAGGAGATTAAAAGCCACAAGTGGTTTAAGTCAGTCCATTGGAAGAAACTGGAAGCCCGTGAAGTTAGGCCAAGCTTTGTCCCAGAAGTTGCTGGGAAGCACTGTGTTGCTAACTTTGAGGAGCGGTGGACTACCATGCCCTTGCTGGATTCTCCATCTGCTAGTCCCAAAAAACATGACAATTCCTTGCGATAAAAGTCCAATTAGAGCAGCCAAGTCATGTAATGGCTGAGAAAATTGTATCCTGCCATATTGCTCCTTGTATAAAGCTATGCTTTCTGGTAACTATACAAGAAAGCAATACTAATATTCTGTTTGATGTGGAGATTTGTGTGTAGCAATATTCTAAAGTTTCCACTTTCTTTTATTGCCAACCTGTACACCCTCTGGTGGGTATTCTTTGTTTTACAATACGAGCTTGATCTCAATGACATTCTTTTGTATCAAATTCAATGTTTATGAACTGAAACAAACAAGCTAGTCATATTATACACTTGTGATTCTGTAGCTAATAGTTAATGTTAATTGAGATGAACTACCTACGCAGTTTTCTTTCCCTGGCTCTCCAACTCTTCTAGGGCATGTTTTTTTAAAAACAAAGTTAGATGAGGTTCACAAGTTATTATGTCATGGTTACTTGTTGGTAACATGGCTAGCCTTTTTGTACATTGTGTTCGTTGTGGATAACTTGACTATGATCTTTATGATCTGGAGCTAGAGTAAAAGGGAAGAAAGGACTTAAAATTACGAAACAAGCATCAAATCAATTCTTGGTTCTTCTGGTAGAGATACATTAAAAAGAAAATTTAATACACACACATAAAACAGAAGCACTTATTGTAGAGGTTACAGCAACAGGCATTATTTTTTTTGGTTCTTCAAGTGGTGCTATACTAGTAAGGAAGAATTTAAATACACACACTCAAGAAGCACTTATTCCAGCAGTTACCGAAACACATTATTTTTTGGCTCTTTCTGTTTGGCAGGAGTGAAAAGGGAGAATCAAAGTACACATGCAGAAAACGGAAGCACTTATAGTAGAAGTTACTGAAACAAATATTATTATTCGTGGTCCTTCCTCTCATTCTCATATTGATAATTCTGAGGCATTCGGATTGGATGCCTTGGAACTAAACTTTTGAAGCTCCTGGAGATTTATCAACACTAGCATTTCGTGTTCGCTCTTTTGCATCATTTATTTTCTCATTTGCTTTTTCTGCAGTAACATTGCCATGGAGTTCTTTATCCTCTCCTGAGATTTCTTCTAATGAACGACCTTGTGTTTCTGGCACTAAGAAAGTGCAAAAGAATCCAAGCAAGTTGACAACTGAAAGTACCATAATTGCTTTCTTGGTTCCTTTTGTTTTGTTATTTGCATCATCAATATAGCTTTGCACCACAAAAGCGCCAATGATAGCTCCTGATTTTCCTGCTGCTGCTGATATACCATGGCATGTTGAACGGAACCTAGCAGGAAACAGCTCTGCTGGTACTATAAATGTTGTGCTATTGGGTCCAAAGTTAGCAAAGAAGAGGGTAAGTCCATAAAATATGGCAAACATGCTTCTGTTTCCGTGACAATAATCATATTTTGCCTGTGAGCCACATTCAGACACTCCCCTATATTCTCCATAACTGTGTCCCAGAAACCACATAAAAACAGACATTAGAAGAAATCCAACAAGCTGGATTCTGTGTCTTCCAATCTTGTCAATGAGGAACACAGTGCACCAGTACCCAGGGACAGTTGCAAGCAGGGCCACCACAAACATTGCTCTGGAGAGTTGAAACACCTCCTCTATGGCATTCATTTTGGAAGCCTTGTATACAAGTCCAATGGCTGGGTAAATATCCTTTTGTGTGAGTTGAAGACTATAGAAGGCAATATCCAACAAGAACCAGGTGCTGGTGGTTCCTAGAAGGTGAAGACCATGCCTAGCAAGAAACTCTGAAGAGAAGAATCCATAAGAGGGGCTCAAAGTGTCAGAAAGCCTGGTATTTGATTCTTCCAAAGGTATGCCCTTATCAAGAACTTTGGCCATATCTTCAATAGCCTTCTTGTGGTCACTTTCCACCAAAGCAGTGTACCTAGCAGTTTCCGGCATTTTCATTCGCCAGTAATAAGTGAAGGCTGCAGGAAATGCACCAAACATGAGCACAATTCTCCAAACAAAATCTCCTTGAGGCTGAGTAGATATCACAGGATGAGTCTCAAAATCATCAGCTGGGTAAGCTGCTAAGAATAGTCTTGACACCAACATGGCCACAGCTCCAGCAACCAATATTCCCATTCCTTGCATAGCAAAGACAGCAGCAATAAAACCTCCTCGGGTTTTTTGATTGGCATATTCAGACATAATAACAGCTGAGAGAGGGTAGTCTCCTCCAATGCCAAATCCCAGCCAGAATCTGAAGAAGCATAGAGTAGCAACCACACTTTTGGATGTGGAGCCAAAGGAAAGCCCTGATAACAAGGCACAACCCACCATGGTGGCAAGAGTTATGCCATAAACCTTTTTTCTACCAAGCTTGTCACCAAGCCAGCCAAAGAAGAGCTGCCCCACCAGGGTTCCACACAAAGCAACCCCAGTTATTGCATTGTTTACATTCGTTGGAAGCTTTCCTGGACTATTACTATTGGGGTCAAAGTAGTACAAACGACCTATAAGTTTGGTCACTGCAGTGATGCAAAAGAGATCATATGCATCAGTGAAGAATCCCATCCCAGCTATCACAATTGCCTTGTAATGGTAGCCTTGTGTCTTGGCATTGTCAAGAGCCAAGAGAACACCTTGGTTCGTGTCCATGGCACTGGACAAAGGCTGGTATCTAATGGAGAAGTGTGAGCAAAAGGAAAGAGCAGGAACATAAATGTTAAGTATATAAAGGAGTTACATTGTGAATGAACAGGTTCACTTGTCTTTTGGGATTTGGACAAATGATGTTGCTTTCTTAAAGCAAGAAAAATATCATAGTGACTAACGGGTTACTTAGACTTCGGCTGCTTCAAGGAGAACACATTGATATTTGAGAAAACACATTGTTTAGTGTTCAAAGTTTGAAAACATTCCCTTATGTGTAGTCGTGGCTAAGCTGCCATCAGTTTCCAACCTAAGCTGGCTTCCAAAATAATATTTAAAAGTGTAGCTATGTTTGTTTTTATCACATGTCTTTCATATTACTGCCTGCATTAACCGTTCTTCTCTTTACCAGGATCCTAAATTTTCCTTTGGATATTCTATTGGATAAGGATGAAAATAGATGAAATCCATGAAGTCTCCAAATATGTTACTTGGCTAAATTGACATGTAACGGTTTATGTGGCCAGATCCGAGAACATTACAAGGCAAAGCCTTTGCGAGTTTTTCATAAACTTTTGTACCCAACGTCCATTTGATTTTTTATTTTTTTCTCCTTTATAATTTTTTCCCTCTTACTAACTTTATGTGGGGCACATTACAAAGTATTTCAAGCCAAAAAAAAAGGGGAGAAGATAATGAATCTGGAAAAGATTACCTCCTAGTTCTAGTTACATCAATCTCCTCACATCCCCTTTTTAGATTCAAAATTGTATGTATTGTGCTAACATAATATAACAACGAGACATTAATGCAGTACAACTTGATGCAAGAACAGAACAATTACCCTGTCTCTTGAAATAATAGAATACACCTCTCCCTATAAAATTTAGAACAACATTCATAAAATTAAGTTTAAGAATTTCTTTTTAATATAAAACCATGGAATAGTCTTAATTCACTAATTTTTTTTTATAGTAGGGTTATATTGACAAACTTTTTTTTTTACAAACTATACTATATCTGACCGGCAATATTCTAGTCAAGAGTGTATTACCAGTGAGACATAGTGTAGTTTGTAAGAGTTTATAAACAAAAAGTTTGTAAATATAATATGGGAAATATAAGAATAATGTTGCAGGAATGACACTGTTCATTCCTGCAACAAGGATCCGACAACGTATCTTGAGGATACGGCGCCGTATCCTGATTTTGGTTTGACTTTTTTTTTTAAGCGTGGGACCCACACTTGATTTGTGTGTGCACGAAAATGATCTTGTCATGTGACATAACAAAAAGCGAACCCATATAACATTCCCCTTCTTTTTAATAAAAAACTAAGGAATCCAACTAAAGTTTGAGCATTCGAGCTTTTTATGGTTGGCAAAAAAATTAAAATATTGTATTTAAATAAAATAATTACGCATTTAATGTTGTTTCGTAAAAAATTACACATCTGCTGCACAATGTGACGCCAGTTTTGGGCGTCACATGTGACGCCCCATTGGGGCGTCTTATCCATGGGAGAGACGCCCCAATGGGGCGTCTCATGTGACGCCCAAAACTAGCGTCACATGTGTGCTCTATATATTTCCTCACCCCCTCCATTCAATTCACACCTCTTCTCTCACTCTTCATATCTCTCTTCTCCATCAACATTCCTTTATCTTTAATTTAGTATTTGAATTTTAGTTGTAATTCTATTTAAAAATGAGTTCAAATCCTGATTCTGTTCGTGTTGTGTTATATTACAATGGTAGGAAGGTAGAAGGTCGACGAGGTGTCATATTCGAAGGTGAAAAAAGGCCGACACGTATCCAACGCAACACAACCATTGGCGAATTGCATCAGAGAATTCGGCAGAAGTTAAGTCTTCAAGACAACCAATGTATCACTGAGATCACGACAAGGGTGTGGCAAGGTGATAAATACATTAGTTTGAAAGTGCTTGACGATGAAGACTTGGAGATGACAATGGAAGAATTTTGCAACCAGTCAAGGACAGATTTTCTAGAGTTGTATGTCGACATCATTGCAACGGAGAATGCTCGCATACCGGTGAGGTCAGTTTATTTAAATTCTCCCCGTCTTCCAGCTTCTCCTGTCGCTCATGCGTCTCCAGTTGGTATCTTTTCTGAGGGAGATGAAAAAGATCCGACTTGGGAAATGCACGACGAAGATGACGATGATGACGATGAAAATATGGCAATGGAAGAACATCTTCTGGCGGAGGATGCTAGTGCTTCAGAAGGAGATGAATCTCGTGAGATGGGTGCGTCTGAAATTCCAATATTCCATCAACCAGTCGTCGCGCAAATGCCGCAGTTGAATGACGTTGCGTCTGCTCCGTTTGGTATTCCACAAGAAGGTAATTGTTCCCATTTGTATACTGCGTGAATAAATAACTGATTTAATGTTGCCTGAATTAGTAGTAAGTTCGTATTAAAAAATTATAACCCGCAATTGCAGGTGACACAGATGTTATTCCTTTTTGGGAAGGAATTCCGCATTATTCTTACATTGATTGGAGTTATCAGAGCGAACAAGAATCATGTACTGATGGTTCGGTGTCTGGATCGGCTTCAATACAAGGTCCGTGGCAACTGGCTTCAATCATGTTGTGCGTACGATCAAGGTTGTCTGTGGCGCGTAAGGGCGATCTAACCGGTGTTTCGTGAAAATTGGAAAATAACGAGATGGGGTGGAAAACACGAATGTGTGAATGAGCACATTTCCCAGGGTCATAGACAGCTGGATGCGGACGTTATTGCAGATCTCGTGATAGGTACCTTTTTGTATTTTAAATGTGTGATTGACCACAAATGTGTAATTAAATTCGTTCGATGTTATCGAGGCACTGATATCCTCTTCAATGCAGGGATGATAAAGTCTGAACCATCTGTGTCATGTAGCGCCCTATCTTTGCTGCCCTCCGTGATATGTAGCGCTTTCCCCTCTCTCTGAACCACTCCATGTACTCATGATTAGGTGACATCAAACCATATAATGGAGGTGGCAGTACAATATGTTGAATCCTAGTATTCCATCGATCAATGTGAGCCCGGAGCTTACGTCTCCAGTTCTCTTCAACCTTCCCCCGTAGAGTATGATCATGTATTCCTCTCAATTTTCTAGATTTTTCTGGGATGGGTTGATTAAGACCAAACTGTCGCATGCACCTATCCGGTTGACATGCCTCAACTGTGTGGAAGTAGATAATAGGTGTGGGAGCTAGCCACAGATACTGCTGCTCTGGAGTCACGTCAAGCCACTCATATTCTATATACGGCTGCCACACCACCTACAAACAAAATGTGAAACAATATATAGAGTTACAAAAAAAAATAAACCCATAGACAAATAACAACACCGTACGTATCTAACACCAAACCTCATCTCTACAGAGTGTGTCCAATGTTGCCCGATAATGGGTGACCTCATGAGGTTTAAACTTTTGTACAGCATTAAACCTGTCAATCAAAAACATTATCAACCATACATAATTGTCCAAAGTCAAGAAGTATACAGTTAGTACATACAGTATTAACCATACATTATCGAAATCAAATGAAGTAAATAAATCATACCGGCATCCATAATGTGTGCCCGGCTGTGGATGAGGAGGAAGGGGTGGAGCAATGGGTGGGAATCGTATCCATGCCCAAATTTGAAGGAGAATATGGCAACCACCCATGTCGCTTCGACGGGCATCTGTCACTTCACACCAATTCCTGAACAAGTGTGTCAAAACTGCAGATCCCCAGCTGAATCGGCCAATGTCCTCAAATCCTCCACCTAGCAACGGGACAAGCCGACAACCAAAATTGCTACCTCCAGACTTGTCCGCCAGCAACCAAGTCCCCAACATCCGCGCAATGTGAGCTTTTGTGAAGTAGATCTCGGCAGCATGATTCCCTTCATGATCAGTCCACCGGGTATAATGTCGATCCAAGAATGAGATGCGGAGGTCGCCAGAATGATGGAACTCACCGGCCTCTGGAACATGTCCAAAAACACCAGCACAAGCAGCGTGCCAATCCTCAGAGATCGATCCGATGACGACAGTACCGTCGGTCGGCAAGCCCAAGATGCCTGCCACATCTTGTAAGGTGATCGTCATCTCACCTTGGGTCATGTGAAAGGTATGTGTCTCTGGTCTCCACCTCTCGACCAGAGCACTAATTAAAAATGTATCTATCTGTGATAAATTACGCAGTTATCACGTGTTAACGAATTACATTATTTAATTACATAAATACAAAACGACATAAATAACATACCTGGATATGTTGCATCCTGGCAACATGTATGAAACCCGCCTGTCTGAGGTACTCTTCCACAACCTGTGGAATAGCACCGGTAGGTGGCCCCCTTGTGGCTTCCCACGCCTCGTCTTAATCTTTCTTACATGCTCAGTATTCCACACACGCTGTGAAATATGACCTTTCTGCGTCCTCTGACGAAGGACCTCCCACCTGTAGGGTCCAGGTATGATCCACATGTTGGGATCGGTGGGCTCTACATCCGAATCAGATCCCGAAGAAGATGATGACTCAGCCATTATCCTTAACTAACTACAAAGTTATGCACTCCCGCATTAATAACATCATACATACGAAATTTACAAAGTCTCTAACACTATTTATAAATCACTAATTAATATGCTAAACCCTAATACATAATTAAAAATCAGTAATAATAATAACTACGTAATAATAATATTACTATATCATTACAACATTCATAGCATGACACAAAATTTCTAAGTGACTATCCTAATGTTCCAAGTCTCTAATATACAATCAATCCTAACATGTATTACTAACTAGCACTGTAATTTAAATGTATACATATGAGGTATTATGACCTTACCTACGTTGGCAGAGCTTCGCTACGAACCGCGGTTAGAGAGAGGTTAGAGAGAGGTTGGAGAGGTAAATGAGTAAGGAGTGAAAAAAGGAAAGTGGGGTATATATAGGTTGCACATGAGACGCCCTCTTTGGGCGTCACATGTGACGCCCAAAGAGGGCGTCTCATTGTGCAACAGATGTGTAATTTTTAACAAAACAGCATTAAATGCGTAATTATTTTAATTAATTACATTATTTTAATTTTTTTGCCTTTTATGGTTATCTATAATAACTATGGGTCTATTTGTGCTTAAAATCTTAGCTGCTTGTATGTCATTAATTCCTTCTTGCTGAATGTTTCTTAACATGACCCTTAAATTTATTTTATCATATGAGTAGGTTCCTAAATAGTATGCATAAAAAATGTTAATGGGGTCTTCTGGTCAGTCAGCACCATTAACCTTCCATAATTTTCGTTGACTAAAACCAAAATAGACAGAAGTTGCGAAGGTAATAACAAATAGGGTGCAAAATAAAAACTTGCATGGCCAACATGGAATTGAAACATTAGTGTTCTCACAATGAAACATGCTTATCAGAACAGATAAGCATTACACACACAATGTCTCATAGAAAATGAAAATTCTCTCACTTTCAATTGCAGTTGGCAACAAAAAAATCATGGTGTTTGAACATTAGACTCTGACTCAGGGTGTCTGATTTCCTCTAGGTTTCTAACAGCTTCATCCATTCTTGGTCTATCATCTGCAACCTTTTCCACACAAGCCAGTGCAATCTGAAGCATCTGCACCATCTCCTCTTCAACATATTGCCCTCTCAGCAGCTCCTCATCAAAAACTTCAGCTGTCCATTCCTCACGAACCACAGACCTTACCCACCTTGGAAGATCAACCATGTCATCATACCCTGGATATCCCAGTGGGGTCTTACCAGTAAGCATTTCAAGAAGGAGCACCCCAAAGCTGTAAACATCAGACTTCTGTGTGATCTTCCGGGACTCAGTAACTTCAGGTGCAAGATAACCATTGACCCTTGACATGGTTGCTGAGGGGTTCATCAGATGCTTTAGTCCAACATCAGCTATGCAACCATCAAGTTCTTGTGTTATGAGCACATTGCATGACTTGATGTTGCCATGAGTGAATTTTGGACCCCCCTCAGAATGAATGGAAGCAATTCCCTTTGCAGCTCCAAGTGCTATCTTCATTCTTGAAACCCAGTCTAATGGAGTTCTTCCTGCACCCTTGTTTCCTATTGTTGATTGGTAAGGATAGAAGAATAAAGCAAAGATATAGCTTTATTACAATTGACAATAGTAAATATTTGTAAGAGTTCCATGAATTTTTTTACTGGTAAGCAAATAATATAATGCAACTGCTGAATGATAAACAAAGGAAAACAGGTTTGTGTCCATTTTCTTGACTAATCCAAAAATTATTAGTAAACAAACTTCAATGGTGATTGGTTCTGACTTAAGATGCTTTATTCTAGTTTAGTTATGACTCTGATGCTCATGTAGAAACAATAAAACATACTACTTTTGAACAAACTGGGCACTGTTTTCCCATGATAATAAGTCATTGATCTCCTCCTTCAATGACTTTAAATTAACATTGACTTCAGCTTTTGGTTACTCACATCAAGTGCCTAAATAATTCTGATGCAGTTGAAGAATGATGAACAAAGATAAGCTTATTCTGTCCATTCTATTGATATAAGTCCCTGCATGGACTAATGAAACAAAAAGAGACAATGTATCAACTTAAAACTTACCATGCAACAAGGAAAACAAGCTTCCTCCTGGCATGTAGTTATAGACTAGAAGTTTCTCATCTTTGGAATAGTAATAAGCTTGAAGGGACATGACATTAGGGTGTCGTCCAATTCTTCCCATAACCTCCATCTGCTGCTCAAACTCTTTCTTTCCAGCCATAACTTCTCTCAACCTTTTAACTACCACTGATGTTCCCTCCTCCAAAGAAGCCTTGTATGTTGTTCCATAGCTCCCCTTTCCAAGAACTTCAGCTGAAGCCTTTAACAAATCTTCAAGGTCAAAGCGATAAAAGCAATCTTCAAAGAAGAACAACTTGTTCTTTTCAGCCTCTTGCACACCACTCCCAAAACTCTTTGAAACCTCAGTTTTTCCAGCACAAGATGCCTTTACTTTCAGTATACCACTGCTTTTACTCTTTTTCTTCTTCAAACAGCATACAAAGATCACCAAAACAAGGAGAGAGAGGAAGGCGCACCCCCCAATTGCTAGAGCAAGTATAGAACCTAGGCCAAAGTAATTCTTTGAAGTGGTACCTTTTTTAGTTTGGGTAGTTGCTGGAGAGAGTGGTTGGTAAACAGGAGAAGGAGATGGAGAAGGGGAGATTACAGAACAATGATTGAGAGGTGGTCCACATAAGAGAGAGTTCCCAACAAAAGAAGTATATGGGAATTTATTGATGGAACTTGGAATTGAGCCATTCAAGTTATTATAGCTCAAATTCAAATATTTGAGCCTTGGAAGGTTGAAGTCAGGGATAGCTCCAGAGATGGAATTGTTTTGGAGAAACAACCGGGTGATTCTTCTCAGATTCTGAAATGTAGGTGGTATACTCCCGGAGAAGAAGTTAAAGGAAATATCCAATGCAATGAGTTTAGGGGAGATAGAGGAAGGGATTGGACCTGAGAAGTTATTGTGCTGTAGGTATACATATTGGAGTGAAGGAATGGAAAGGATGTCAGAAAGAAGATTTCCTCTAAGGTCATTGGAATGAAGGCTCAGGATTCTAAGAGCATCTAGTTTTCCTAGGATGTTCTCTGGAATGGAGCCCTTGAATCCAATCCCTGGAAGATGGATGCCAATGACACGAGTTCCATTTGAATTGCAAGTCACACCAACCCATGAAGTGCAAATTGGAGTAGATTCATTCCAATTTAGCCTTGGGGCATGTGGGACACTAGAAGAAAACTTAAGGAGAGCTTGTCTGTCAGAGTTCAAGTCTGCTACAATCAAGCCAAACAGAGACAAAGTGAAGCTTAGCAGAACAAATGGAACAATAGAGAACTTGAACTTCATGGATGATTGTTTGGTGAGAAATGGAGGCAAGTGGTAGTTCCAAGTTATGACCTTAACAGTTCTTCATCCTTTCATGGTTTGGCTTTGGAAAATTATGGCAAATTGTTAGTTGATCATACAGCTAAGAAGGATGAACATGTTAAAAGTCATAATTACTATGTTTTGTTCAGTGACATGGAGTAACTTGGGGTGAGCATGAAAATAGTCTAAAAACAGTGATGTGTCATTCGGAAAGTAAAGCAGAACTTAAACATGAAATATGGTTTTGAATAGTTTTCAGGCTTGATTTAGAAATTGTGGAGAAATGATTTCATATAATTTGAACCAGCAACTTTCTCTAAGAACTTGAGTTTTAGTATGATAATTTTTTTGTTTGTTGATGCAGAAACATCACTTATTGCAGCTTTACATAGAAATAGAAAGATTATTAAGACACGGTCTTACACATGCTTACCATGTAGCAGGTTTTGAAGTTGGGAAATTCTTTCAGATGCATCAGTTGAGGCAAGTTCGTTCTTTCAATGATTGAGATGTTATTCCAACTTTTTCAATTAAAAGAAAAAGGCAAAGGCTTGCCCGTGAAATTCGGTTAATGGGGGACTAAAGTGCACTTTTTATTGAGAAAAAGAAATTCCCACTTAAAATCGGTTCTTATATGTTTCAAAAACAACCAAGAATTAGAAGGGAGAAGGGGGGAAAGCTTGGTGACAATTGAGAATCCAAGAAAAAAGTACTCAGAAGAAAAAGCTAAAGTTTGATTCTCTTTCGTACTTTAAAAAAAAAAAAAACGTAATTTACTAAATCTAGGCTGCATTATCCTAATTTAAAAAGATATAGTAAATCATTAGTGTTGATTTCTTGTGTTTGCCACCTTAACTGGTCAGTGTATATTATCATTGCAAGCAAGTATACACACACACACATGCATATGCAGATCCGTGAGTAAGATGGCTAAAAACATGGGATCATGTTCCAAAAACAATTATGATGATTCAACTATGAGCTACATAAGTAACCACAAATAGACCAGCTTCATTAGAAATGCCTTATTTTCCAATCTATAATTGTGGACAATGTAATATTAAGCAAATTTAAGTCAGCAACTGCAAGTATTCAAATTTGGAATTTAGAGGAACTGAGAGAGATTACCTTTGTATGATTTTCAGTTTTAGGACTCCAAGAACACATCATAGAAAGAATCATGACTTCACAAAATGAGTAGGGGATATAATCCAGTTCAAGAAGAGAAGTATTATAAAGCTCAAAATCTCCCAGTTTACAATAAATGAGGATCTAATGAAATGGAGAGAAACAGGAATAAACTTTTAGAGCACAGCACACAACACATGACATGAGATTATTGAATAAATAGAGAGGTTAAAGTTAGCACTTTGGAGTTGGTGGCATCTGACTGAGCATTATTACAGTTTTACCAATAATAAGAGTCTGATTTCTTCTTTTGTCAAGGGATATTCCACCCACAGCAAGAGTTTATCTCTTGGTGAAAGGAAAGAAACCAAAATCACTTTCCTACTTAACTACAATGACAGCAATAATGAGGGTCCTAACCAACCAGATTGTTCTGTCTAACCTCAACTACCATTACATTAATGTCTCACTGTTGTTGTTGAAATAAGTCCAACATAAATTTAGAAAAGCATAGGTTTCATCAGTCTAAAGTCTAAACGTTTGAAACATAGGAGCACTACATTAATTAGAAACTTGGTGGCATGTGAATCTGTGATGACTGTTGATGGACAGTACAGAGTACTAAAAACATTAAAGAATATTGCCTGGACAATAAAATTAGTTAAAATTTGTATTTATATACGTAAAGATGGACGGGATCAATTAAAATGTATAAGAATAATAAGTCTTATATCAAATCTTAATCATTAATTTTTGTGCATTTAACTATTAAGATTTTTTTGGGTCATATTAATTAATTATTTAACATGTCTCAATAAATCTTAACTGGTAGATGCATGAAAATTAACGGTTAATATTTGATATAAAATTTTATATACCGATGTAAGAATAACCCACCCAGATAAAATCAAAAAAATTCACCTGTAATCATCGGGTCCCATGTGATTTCTAACTCATTTGATCCGGATGATAATCTACTATTTTGTATGATGATTTTGAGGAGGGTAAGATTGCAAAAATGATAATATGCTTTCGGGGAGGTAATTAATGAAAATGGAACTTGAATTCATATCTCTAATTTTTATTTTTATTTTGTATATAAGAAAGTTTAAGCAGAGTTAGACACCAGTATCCCACTAAGGTTAGGGAAGACTCCTAACCTCTTTGAAGATTTCTGGGAGGGATTACATATCATCCACCAACAAAGTCCTCACATCGATCAGCGGGGTTTGAACCCACGCCCTTGAGGATATGGACCAAACTCTTAGCCAACTGTACCTGTTCGTCATATCTTTAATTTTTTGGTAGCACTGTGGGTATCCCGAAAGAAAGAAAAAAACGCATGTGTCAAAAATACGTATGCAACAGTATATAAGTATTGGTATTGGATAAGAATACAATACAAATTTGTCACTGGTTTTAGATTTTTCATGCATTATTCACACGGTGAATCATAGCTAGACTTGTTATACATGATGAAAGTCATGTTACAAGGAATATTTTTCATGAATTTCTTTACTCTAAAATATACTACCTTTAACTAAATCAAAAAGATAAATAAGCCAAGGTTTAACCTAAAAAGTACATAACCGCAATATATCCCAAATTCTTCTATCTTCAATTCCTTTTATTTATTGGAGAAGTACTGAACCAGAAGAATATGATCTTAAACAGTTATCTATAATTTATTATGGGAAATAATACTCTCATGTCACATGAGATACTCCTATTTTCCTATACAAATTCGTTTTCCGTGCCAATTAATTTTTCTTTTCTTTTTTAATATAAAATATGGGACCCACATTTAACTTCTCTCTACTTTTTTTCTCTCCTACAATCCTACAACATAAGAAAAGTTAAACCCATTTATTATTTGACGTTATGCATTTTATTGAAGGGCTTTGCATTTTTCATTTAATACGACACAAGAAATTTTTTTACACACGTAATATTAGTGGGGTCCACACTTTTTGAAGAAAAAAAAAATTACGACACGCAAAATAAATCTCTATAACATTACACAGTCACTTTTCTTATTACATAACTCTTATAAAATCTTTTATTGAATAGCATGTACTTTATTTAGGTAGTGTTTGGTTGAAGGTTTATTTTGGGATTGATGGGAAAGTGTAAGTGGATATTGAAAAATACCACGTTTGGTTCAGGTTTTTTCAAAAAATGTCTGGCAAATAAGATAGATGGAAAAATGACTTTTGTGTTGATTTTTGGATGAAATTTACTGTTACAGAATACCACTTGAGATGTGGTATTTTGAGATAACTGGGGGAAGTGAATAAACAGGTGCAAAGTTTCTTCCGAACATAGATTTTGCATATTTAAATAAATTTCCCTAGTAATATTTGGGTCAACCAAACAACTTTTTTTACATTTTCCTACCAAATTTATTTTTCAACCATTTCTCTATTAATTATATTTTCCTAGTAAAAAAATTTGTTCCTGAACCAAACACTGTGTTAGAAAAATTCTTTCTTCCTCCACAAATATCATGACATCCAATTTTTCAAGACTCTACTGCTGAGTCTCATCATCAATTTAATGGTGTGAGATCTACGAGAAGAAGAGTTTTCTTTTTTCCAATAAAGTACAAAAAAAATTCGTTTTACGTGTGGTATTAATTCGGCTAGGGATTGAGCCAGTCAGAAATGAGAGCCGAATACTGTGATTACTCTTTTGTCAAAACTTAGATGAGTGACCCTTCAGGACTGATGATGGGACACATACTGGCTAGGTTTCCGAGATGGGCTAGACATAATGGGCCAAAAGTGTAATGAGTTAACCATAAAAGCAAGGTGGTTGATTGATGAAGAGAAGCACTTTGAGATACTTCCTCCCTTCCCCACTAATGTCATAACTCATGTCAGGAACATTGATGGTACATGCGGATGCCAGTGAAAATACAGCACTAGTTTTTTGAATTATGGTACATGCATAGTGTTGTGAAATCCTACAGCACTAGTTTTATGAATCATATGCACAGTATTATAAAATCCGGGCCGGGATATTGAAATCGGTAAATTGATTATTGAATCGGTTCAAATCAAATATCGGATCGGTCATACATTGAGTTCGGTCAAAACTTGATCCAATCAGGTCATGCATTTTTATTAGACATGACAAAATGGGCTCGGCTCGGCGGGTCAATCCGTCCAATCCGTCAAACAGGGTAGGGCGGGCTGAATTTTTTAACCCATCTCAAAAGTGGGGTGAGCTCATTTTTTGACGAGTTGACTACGGGCCGAGACGGGTCAATGTAAAATAGGCTCAGGCTGGCGGGCCAACTCCCCCAAAACGTCAAACTGGGTGAGACAGGCTGAGTTTTTCAGCCCACTTCCAAAAGCGAGACGAGCCAGGCTGACTTATTTTTTGGCGGATTGATGGCGGGGTGAGGCGAGGCGGGCCACCCACTTTGCCACCTCTAATTTTTATATATATAAAAATCATAATTATTTCATCTTATAAAAAAAATGTAAAACTCATCTTAAATTTTTTTGTACTTTTATTTACTTGTAATATACTTCTACAATAACCTCAAATTTCAGCTTCCAATGCTGAAACAATTTACGAAACAATAAATTAAGAGAATATGACATATGTCTTTTCAATGTATATAAATTAAAAAATTATGTGTTCACAACATCTAGCCTTTTGAATATCAATGAGATGTGTGTTTATGGGGATTCTGAGTAATTTTCATTTATTTGTACTTATGAATTTGTAAAAGTGTGATTTGGTCATTTTTGAGCTTATTTTGTGAATTTTGTTTAACTCATCTTAGATATGGAGAATATAATTAAATATATATGTTCATATTTATATATCCTTTTGTATATTTGAGTTAACCGGTGATCCACCGGTCAGACCAGTGATTCAGTATTCCAATTAGGTCTATGTTCAAGTCAGGTTTAATAACACTTTATATGCATGTATTAAATATTGATATTAATATAGGGATGAGATATTCTGTTATTTTTTTTTTATGTCTAATTAGTTGAGATTCTAATGTTTAAGATGAATACGTAGAATATGCCTAAAAAAATATAAACATGATATCACATCTCGTTAATATATATTTTGTACCGTATATGGACAAACAGTGAATAAAATAAACCAATTTTTTTTTTGAAAGATAAAATAAAAATAAACCAATTTACACTATGCCTAACTGTGACAATTAAATTATCTTTTTGAATTTTCAACTTGTGCACTTGCCTTATAAGAAGATATTTTGAGACACAGTTACATGGACCACTGAATTTAAAACCGAAAGTTCGTATACGGAAAAATATTTTTTCTTTCAAATGGTATAATTCATGTCATTTCACTCTCATAAAAAGGTAGAATCCACATTTTTATATATTTTTTGTCTAATCTCTTTTCTTTTTTTTTCTCTTACTTAAAATGATACAATTTTATATCCTTTAAAATAATACACATTTTTTTTCAAGTTCATAAAAAGGGAAAGGGACGTATGAACAAATATATCAGGGCTGTTACAGAACATGAACTTTAAGTCACTTTCATCTATGGTTATAAAATAAGTGCCCAATTATTGTAAGCTAGCATGAGTTCAGTAATTATTTTTCTGACTTCCTTTAATTACAGATCTACTCAAGGAATGGTATATGGAAGTGGATCATCTTATATTGAAAAAATATATGATATGGTTATGTGATGAATTATAATCATATAAAGATAGATTAATGATAATAAAAAAAGAAAAAA